CGGTTCGTTTGCACTTCTTGCGGATTTTGCAGTATATCAGACACTCGGCCTCTTTCCCTCCACCATGATTTTTATAGCAGACATGATGTGACTCTGAATCGGTCGGCTAGAGAGTTTTCTAATTGTTAAACAGTGATGGGAGGGGTGGAAACTGAGGGCTGAGCTGAGGCGTGCAGAGATTTCAGATAGACCAACCACTGTGTATAGGGTCGCATATAGCCTATTCTTAACCCTGTAATGCCAAATGTATCATATTTGATACATACGGTTTCTGAAATGTTTTGCGTCTGACACCTTTTGCATAATTTAATGGTAAAAACTTTGCTCAAAATCCTATTTTACACAATCAGATATACCTGATAACAGAGGGCAGAAGACTACACAAAAACTAATCTTGACTTATCGCATAGTAATAAATTATTAATATTAAAAACAATTTTTCTGTTTTTTCTTTTTACATATTTTGTTAAAAGGCCAAATAAGGACTTCAAACCAAAAAAAAAGTTATTTTCTGTTTTGTTTTATTCTTGGACCGGGCTTTAAAGGGTTAAGTTTGATAAAACCAAAAGATAAATTATTTTATTAGTAGATAGAATGTATAAATTACATTCTATTTACTAATGTACGCTCCCTTCTGTTTGTGTGCATAGGTATAACAAAATGCAATTAATTACCTTTATTTACCTCCTTAAAATGTTTCCTATTAATTCATCGAAATTAATATGTTGCAGTCATGGTGCTAAAATCTTAAGGGTTCAGAGTGCCGCCGTCCTTCCATAGCTCATGTCTACTTTGAAATGACCAGTGGTACAATTATTTTTTTCAAATGTAGTCCTGATGTTCATTGTGTAATCTATGCTGTATGAATAAAATAAAACCAAATAACACATTTCTTGACCAGCAAGCAACAATATAAAAGGTAAGAGAAGTTCTACCTTGAGACAGGCAGGGAGATCACACATATTGTAACATCATTCTTCTAATATCAGTCAAAAGCTCAGTGTTGAAAGCATCTGAACAGTCCAAGCAGGCTGACAAAACAGATTTATCCTCCTCCAAATGACACTGTGCAACTTCTCACCAGCCGGCATGTCAGCCTTGAGTCCAGTGCAGTCATTTTCTGTTAGAGGGAAAAAGCAGTCTAGGAGGAGGGCATGCTTCTGTTAAGTAACACAGCGAATACAGGCAGGCGATGTTGAAGAGTTCACGTGAAAAATGACAACTGGGGGCTTTAGAAAAAGAATACGGCCTGTGTGGCCCTGCTTTTTAAAGGAATTCGGTGTCAGCTCACCATTAACAAGATGAATAATTAATCTGCCTTGTACCTCAACGTCGAGTTCCTTTCATTCCTGACATTTCCTTTGATTCATACTGAATGTTCTTAATGTACCCTTCACTGGTAGAGCTACATCCTGGATTAAAGTAGTTTGAGTTCCTTCTATTCCAGGAGAGTTTATACTCTAGGGAGAAAATAGCCAATTTAACAGTTGCAACAAAAGCAGTAAAAAAAAAAAGGTTAAAATTAAAGCTTTATGTACTCAACTCTCCAGCCAGCACAGGTGTGAATCATCTACAGCTCGGAGCTGTACGTGGGAGGAAAACAGAGAAGTGCAGTAAAAACCTGACTTACATATACATCAAAAACGCACTTATTACAAGGTCGTATGACATATGGAGTGTTTTTAAATTAGCCTGACTACCGAACAGTTTCAATTTCTTTTCAATTTCGATGCACATTTCTTTTCAAGAAGCCCAAGGTAACTTATAATATAGTTGGACAAATGTTATAACCTGTCCTGTGGACATATGTGTATATAAGGTGGGATATTTTGATCTGCAACATAAAACCTACTTTTGTAATAAAAATGTTAATTTGTTGACGGGCATGTGTTCATGTTATTGACTCACATGTAAACTGTTGACATTTGTATAGAGAATAGCAGAAAAACAATGAAGTACACTTGCCCCCTAGTGGCTGGAAGCAGAACACAGCAAAAGGTAAAAGATTTCAAAGCAGTTTAATACAATTTGGAAAAGTCCATCCCATTTAAGTTCTGTAATAACATGAATATTGGAAATAAATGAATCCTGGAACTTTTCAGCTGCGTATTAACATCAGGAAATGAAAAAAAAAAAAATCAATGTCAGTAAAAAAAAAAAAAAAAAAAAAAGTATCTCGGTGAAATTCATATGCAACAACAGGAAGAGCTCATGGTTTGCATTGTTTGAGGTTCTTAGCTAGGAGATTTACAGGTAACTAGACAAATTAGAGCCAGGTTGATGGACTCTCAACAAAATTGAACCATTGATTTCTCCTCCATATTAAACATAACAGTTTCAAAGAGTGTGTATAAACACAAACTGAAAGATTTAACAAAGTAATTATTAATAGACATCATTTCATTTTCAAACCAAACCCTTTAGCATTATGATTGTTTCCTCCCATAAATTATACACTATATTGCCAAAAGTATTTGCTCACCCATCCAAATTATTGGAATCAGGTGTTCCAATCACTTCCATGGCCACAGGTGTATAAATTCAAGCACCTAGGCATGCAGACTGTTTTTACAAACATTTGTGAAAGAATGGGTCGCTCTCAGGAGCTCAGTGAATTCCAGCGTGGAACTGTGATAGGATGCCACCTGTGCAACAAATCCAGTCGTGAAATTTCCTCGCTCCTAAATATTCCACAGTCAACTGTCAGCTGTATTATAAGAAAATGGAAGTGTTTGGGAACGACAGCAACTCAGCCACGAAGTGGTAGGCCACGTAAACTGACGGAGCGGGGTCAGCGGATGCTGACGCGCATAGTGCGAAGAGGTCGCCAACTTTCTGCAGAGTCAATCACTACAGACCTCCAAACTTCATGTGGCCTTCAGATTAGCTCAAGAACAGTGCGCAGAGAGCTTCATGGAATGGGTTTCCATGGTCGAGCAGCTGCATCCAAGCCATACATCACCAAGTGCAATGCAAAGCGTCGGATGCGGTGGTGTAAAGCACGCCGCCACTGGACTCTAGAGCAGTGGAGACGCGTTCTCTGGAGTGACGAATCGCGCTTCTCCATCTGGCAATCAGATGGACGGGTCTGGGTTTGGCGGTTGCCAGGAGAACGGTACTTGTCTGACTGCATTGTGCCAAGTGTAAAGTTTGGTGGAGGGGGGATTATGGTGTGGGGTTGTTTTTCAGGAGCTGGGCTTGGCCCCTTAGTTCCAGTGAAAGGAACTCTGAATGCTTCAGCATACCAAGACATTTTGGACAATTCCATGCTCCCAACTTTGTGGGAACAGTTTGGAGCTGGCCCCTTCCTCTTCCAACATGACTGTGCACCAGTGCACAAAGCAAGGTCCATAAAGACATGGATGACAGAGTCTGGTGTGGATGAACTTGACTGGCCTGCACAGAGTCCTGACCTCAACCCGATAGAACACCTTTGGGATGAATTAGAGCGGAGACTGAGAGCCAGGCCTTCTCGTCCAACATCAGTGTGCGACCTCACAAATGCGCTTCTGGAAGAATGGTCAAAAATTCCCATAAACACACTCCTAAACCTTGTGGACAGCCTTCCCAGAAGAGTTGAAGCTGTTCTAGCTGCAAAGGGTGGACCGACGTCATATTGAACCCTATGGATTAGGAACGGGATGTCACTTAAGCTCATATGTGAGTCAAGGCAGGTGAGCAAATACTTTTGGCAATATAGTGTATATTTAGATTGGCAAGATTAGTTTATCACATTTCCGGATAGCAATTTAGTCAGTAAACTGTGTTCACACGTTGTACCAAAAGATGATTAAATCCATATTGCAGTGTGTCCTGGAATACTCGCATAAGATTGTAAATTAGTTATTCGGCTACTGGGTTTTATTTGTAGTACAAGTCATCTTGGCTGGTGGTAACCATAGTAACGATTAGTCAGCTGCCTCTTTTCTTCACCTTCGGCATTAAGAAGCAGTTCCTTTATTTTTAACCATATCCGAGACATGCAATTGTATGATTTTTTCCTCTCCAATCAATATTTCAAGTTTACTTTGCTTTTCCTACGCACCAACCAAAAATGTGTAGACGTTTCACTGTAAAGTGTTATTCTTTTCAAGACTCTGAAAGCTTGTCTAGTCTGTAAACTAAAGGCCTCAACTGTTGCGTCACGTGGGAGATTGCTTACTTTTACTAACATTCATGGATCCCTCTGTGATTCGAATTGTTTTGGCAAAATTGAAGTTATACTGAAAATAATCATTTTGGAGCCCTAAATGAGTTTATTGTTATTTTGCCATGCTTTGTACAGATTGTCAATGTCAAATGTTGTAAAGTCCATTCGAAGAGTTCCACTCCACTGGGTCAATGCCTACTTGTCTAATACTGAATGTACAGTTAGAAGAGATCTAGAAGAAAGTACATAACTCGTGGTGTTCCTCAGGGATCAATTTTGGGCCCTAAACTGTTATGATATATAAAACAACCTTTGTCATATCTCAGCAAAATCAGGGAAAGGTCTACAGCTCCTAATGACTGATATCTTCACAGAATTAAACAAGTTAAAACAACTGTTTGATGATAAATTATCAATGAATATTTCTAAAACTAAAATTGTATTCTTTGGCAAATGGCCAGACATTAAAGTAAATTTTGAGATGTTCCTTTTAGAGTTAATGAACATCCATTTCTGGGCATGATTTTAAGTCATGACGTAAGCAGGAAAGCCCAAATAAAAAAAAATGTCCAATCAGAAGTGGCAAGTAGTATAGCAATACTGTGTAAAGTAAGATTATATGGCATGACATATCCTCTACAACTCATTAGTTCTTCCATATATATATAAATAAAGGTACTGCATAGAGGTTTGGGGTAATACGTACAAAAGTAATCTGGGGAGAGTTGGCCTAGTGGTTAGAGCAGTGGGCTTGTGCTCTGAGAACGTTGCATGACCCGGTTTAATCCCCACAGCCTGCACTCTGGGTTCCTGAGCAAGACCCTTAACCCCACACTGCTCCCCGGGTGCTGCACAATGGCAGCCCGGGGAGCAGCTCCCCAAGGGAATGGGTTAAATGCAGGGATACATTTCTTGAATGTGAGATCAATAGTGTTTAATTATTATTAATCTAGATTCAATTATCAAACTTCAGAAAAAAGCTTTACAAATCATCCATAATGTGGGATTCAAAGATCACACTAATGCACTTTTCCTAAAATCTCACATCATGAGAATTCAAGACTTACACAAATTTAAAACTCTTGCTTTAGTGTACAAAGAAAGACTTGATCTACTTCCTGGCAACATAAATTTTTTTTAGAGAATTATAATTTGAGAGAATTTGTGTTAAGATGCTGTGGTGTTCGCACCACACTTAAAAGTCTGGGGCTCAGCCAAGCAGAAGTTATGTTGTGGAACGGCCTAAATATGGAAATAAAAAGGAGTACCACACTTAGAAAATTTAAAAGCATATATTAATATGTTATCTTTAAAAACAATATGCATGTGACCCCAACATTTAAATGTGATAATTTGCAACATTTTTGATACGTACTTCTAGATATCTTCTTTTTTCTGTACAACTGCCCATAAAAATGCTTTGAAATGGTGATCCTATATATTGCTCAACAGGCCACACTGTGACTGTCTAACTGAATTTTAAATAATTTTAAATACTGTGCACTGACGTCTGTCCTTCAGTAAAATGTCCAACTTATTTTATTTTCCATTAAGGGAAATACATTCACCCTTGCAGCATTTCTTGAGAAATATATTTATCGAAAGTCCAATACACTGTCCAAAACAAAGACTTTCTGCATCACAAAACCGTCCTGGTTAAAAAAGCTAAACGCTGAATGTGTGCTGGCTGCTGATGCAAGAAAACCCCTGAACCTGTAATCGCCTTTGACAAACCGCAACAAGAACACCAAGAATCAAGGAACAGCCAGCAATAAAAAAAGCAGCACAGATGATTGCCCAAGTTTTAAGTCTTCCTGACGTTTTCAAGTTGTTCACACTGTCCAGAACGTACGACTCATTTCACTTCAACGGTCTGCCAAGGACAAAAGAGAAGAGGAGAGATGAATCGAGTGACAGAAAGCAAACAGTTGTTTTTTTTTTTTCTCCCCAACATTTTGAAGGTGAGCACCATCTCACCTGCTCAATGCGGTGGTCTGGTCACCTCCATTGTAATACGACCCGCACAAAAAGGACAGTATATCTATATATGGAAGCCTGCAGGGCGACTTAACGGGAAAGAGAAAATAGAATTATGGATGAAGCCTGAAAAATATATTAAATGTTTCTCGAGAATTGGAGTTAAATTAAAAGAAACACATCTTGTAAATGCTATGACATTCAAGATAATTGAAACTTTACCTTTTTTGGATTAATTGTTTTCTCTTAAAATATAACTTTACTTGATCATCACACTTTTGTGCAGTAAACATTGAAAGACAACTTTTCAACAGTGCTAAAGTGCAAGCAGATCCCGCATAAAGCCCCTTGGAAATACTCGCTTCTCTAACAAGTGTTGCATTACAGCTACTTGTCAAATCCAAGGAGAGATGACATCACACATCTAGCTTATCCCTGGAATATTTATACCTTAGAGAGACAGGATTTAAACTGCTAAATCAAGATATTTCTTAATGGGTTAAGAGAATGGCATCTTTCAAAATGTAAAAAAAAATAAAAAAAAAATCCAGCTAAAAAAATAAGGGGTTTTCGATTTGCATTAAACAGCTCATCAAAAATGTCATCCTTTTCCATAGTAAATGGTAAAAATCAAAGGCCTTAAAACGTTGATCCTTATTTCAAACTGCTGATCTGCTTTTTGGATGTTTCCATTTATATTTTTAAAATCTTAAGGCTCCAAGGCCTCCTTGCAATTACAAAGCAAAATGGTTCCATGTAAAAAAATTTTAATCCTGATCAATTGATAACATCTGCTGAGGGGTAATGCCTTTCAAGTGTTGTAATGTTACCCCTGTCCTGCCAGAGGGCGCCACTGCTCATTCTTTTAGCAGAGCCTCACTGGAACATTTGCATAGCGGCTAAAGGCATTAGAAAGCAGGAAAATGAATCATTTAGATTACCAAGAAATAAACTCCCCTTAGTCCAACTAGTCTAAAGTCACTTTTAAATAACTTTGTTTTTATGCTGTACGAGTGGTGATTAGTCAGAATGTGTAGAGTTCAGAGAACAGCTGATTGTATGCAAGTTCTAATTTAAAGACGACACAGGTCGTTTCTGGAATTACCAAACCACCGACTCTCTGGGTGCGCAGTATCATCACTTGTGCTGGGCTGCTGGCAGAGCAGCAGATCTAATAGACAGTCATCCTCCATCTCTGACCAATCACAGCGCTTTCTGAAAGCGACTCCAGCACCACTACACCTAGCTCCCTCCATTCTGTGGGCCTTCTTTATATACAAGGTAATAGTGGTCAAGGCTGCTGTTAAACCATTAAACTGCCGTTACATGACAGCAATACCCCTTCCATTTCTGTTAATGGACCATGAAGTTGGACTGGAATTTATTTTGCATTCCGAGGTCGTGTTACATGGTCATAAGAAATTTGAGGCCTTAAAAAAAAAGAAAAAAAAAAGACTAACAATCATTTGTAAGGCCTAATCTGGATTTTGATCATTGAAAAAGTCTAAATAGACCTGAAAGTTGGGCCTGGGGCTTCCGCTAACATTTCAATACAAATTTACCCAGATAATTTTACCTGTGTTTTTTTTTTTTTTAAGATTTAATATGCTCACCAGTTTTGAAGTTCTTTAACTTGTTCTAAAGAAACTTTGTTGGCAAGACACATTCTTGCTAAAAGTCACCCTCTGTTACCTCTTCAATCATCTGTGGAGGAAAAGAAAAAACAAAAAAACCCCAGCATAATTAAATGCAAACCCATAAACTGAAGACCATAAGAGGATAGTCTTTATTTTTCTCACAAAGGAGGTGACTCAGATGGCCCCTGTGCACAATAGGTGTCAACACATAGGAGTCAGGTCAGGCCTGCTGTGCCACTGCAAACAGCAGCCTGGCTAATAGTGCAACTCATCACAGTCACCTCCAAAATAAAGAAAGCTTTTCCAGACACAGACATCATCAGCAGATTTAAATTCCAACATGCAATGCACCAGGCCTGAGGAATTAAACAACCACAGGATGTAATTTTATTGACACCCTGTCAGCATCATTACAAAATAAGTCTGATCAAATGCTCTAATTTCACTGAACCTCGATATAAAAATCCACATGGCATTTTGGGAATCGGTCTCTCAACCTCACTGCCAAGCCATGCTTGTGGTAGAGCTGACTTTATAAGATTATGTTGGAATACAGTCAGGGGTGGAATTTAATCCCACCCCGCTTATTTCAAATAAATTAAATCCTTAGTCATTGATATAGGCTGATATGAAAAGCTTACAGGTATACATTTTTTAGCTGCATCGCCCACAGCCCTAAATACAAACATCATTGTAGATGTTTTTGAATAACTATTCAGACGGGAGAAAATAACACTTCACAAAATGGAAACTTTCCAAAATGCGATGCTTCATATTAAAATACAATCTTTTCCTCAAGATTTTAAAAGTACATTTCCTGGAATGACAGTAAGAAAGCAACAGGGTGTGTCTTAAAGATTTACAATCACCCCAGTTATGAGACATTTGTTAGAATATACTTTAAAATAAACAGGAAAAACTGAAACAGAAACAATTTACTGAAGTTATATGAAATGTTCACAGCAGATATATTTCACAGAAAAAATTTAAATTTTAAAGATGCTGGATCTAAGATAAAACAACAAAGGGACTGGAAGCGCTTTGACTTGCTTCAGTCTTGAGGATGTTACACACTTCACCATTCAGATTTACCTCTCAGCTAAAAAGAGAATATTTAACTCTTACAGACCTTTAAGGATGAAGAAATTCCAGTTCAAATCTTCGGAGTCAAGCCTTTGAATCTTCACAGGGTCTCTTTTTCTATGCTTCCAGGCTCTAGGCTTTATAACACGTGAAAAAAAAATAAATAAATCAGGCAGAATACATTAAAAAGATGTTCCAGGAAAGCAAAAAAGGCAAATTAATTAAGTAATATAAATACATCACACTTCAATAACTTACAATTGGTTTCTCAAAAAATATAACATGAAAATAGACTATTGAAATGGATTGTAAATACAGGAATGCTGTATATGGTTTATTCATTTAACATTTATTCTTGCAGGAAAATTATTTTCTATATAAAACATTTGATATTTGAGAGAACACTCAGGAATATATATATATATATATATATATATATATATATATATATATATACACACACACACACACACTTCCTTGAACCTCTGGGGATGCATACAAAGACACTTTGAAAGTTCTGAGCCAACCACATAAAACACGACAATTAATGGGACAAGATTCTTTCTATAACAGATGCTTTGGCCCAGAAAGGGCAGTGATGTTAAACACAAATCAGGATGAGATCAACCATAATAGAGCTAACTATTTAGAGCAGGTATGTCTAAACTCGGACCTCGAGGGCCTCCGTCTTGCAGGTTTTAGCGGTTTCCATGCCACAGCTGATTTCCACTCATAGCCAATTGAAAGGCTTCCGTTCATCAGAATCAGCTGTGCTAAAGCCGATAAACACTGGAAAACTGATGACACGTGCATTGAACTTTTAAAAAATGTCCTATTTAGAGGAATCGTGTGGGGAAAATGACAAGAATTAACCAAGAAAATTACCTGTAGTAAACTGGGGCTGCAACTAACGACAATTTTGCAGAATCGATTAATGATCAGATGACCACAGGTTATTTAAAGAACTGGATCAACTGGAATCAAGCTAAAGCACCTACATTTAATGTGTTTAAAACCGTAATGAATGACAAACTGGAGCACCACACTTACAACTTAAAGCTAAAGGGGATCTTTTTACTCAAACATTGGGACCCTTGATCATCACCTGACTTCCTTATATGTAATCTCTCATCTTGACTAACATGACTTGTAATTGTGTTTACCCGTCTTGTTTTTTTTTTTATAACATTGATAATGCACTTGACATATTTTATTGCATTTATGTTTATAGTTTTTAATATTTTGTTTATCTAGATTTTTTATTCTTACATTAAGTTTCTTTTCCTCTCAACCTACATGTACAACCGTAATATTTTATATGTTTTTTCTCTCAGCTTACCCATGTGTTCAGAATGTGGTGTTTGTGTAACAAAATGACAATCCAATAAAAAAACAAGTGAAATTTTTTTATTTTATAATTTTGGTATTATACTGATCTCGGATAGATGCTCTGTCAGCTAAGGGCACAATTTTAAACCCCTTTACTCCAATTAACAATTAATATATTACAAAATTAGTTGAGGATTATCTTAATACTATTAATCATTATTTATCCAATTACTTGTTTCAGTCATAAAATAAACCGTGATGTCAGTCATTTTTAAGTTAGGAATGGGGGTTTAGTGTTATTTTTTTTCTTCTGTACCTTGCAGGGTTAGGGTTACAGACGAGGAACGTCCTCCATTACCGCAATATAGGAAGTGTTAATAATAAACACCTTTTTCTCTTCCTTGGGAGCTGATTCCTGCTGCTGGGAGACAATCTATGGATGAAAAACAGAAAAAACAAAACGAGCCTTTTGGATTAGATCAAGGAAAAATACGCCTTTACAATTTAATGCCATTCTTAGTCACTGGTTAAGTTATGACTTAAGTTTCTGCAACAAATTTTTACATTTATATTCCATATATTCTTATACCTAATATAAAACAGGAGTAAAACAAATGGTACCCGAACTGCTTTAATGCTAGCTGCTAATGGAGGTAGCATCGCGGAAACACCTTAAATACTGATTTAAAACCTATTTAAGTTATAATATTTGGTGTACTCTTTATCGTTCACTGACTGCTTTAAGCATATACTGCTATAATCGTGGTGAAATCATAAACTTTACCTGATTTTCGAGTAAAACGTCTCTCTTCGTTTTGAAACCACGTGGCTGGCTGAATGAAACCAGCTCTTCTTCCTCAAACACGGCTGGCAGCTTTTCGGAGAATAACCACCACCTTGTGTGTAAAAGTTGGAATCCGGGCGGATTTCTATTAAATCTTCAATAGCCCCCATTTTTATCTGAAATTTAAGCACAGCTGCGCTTAACAACCGGACCGCAGCGTTTGCAGGAACCTTCTTCTTGATTAAAGGCGGAAAGCAAACGCAAACACCGTTATGGCGCATCACCGCCACCAAGTGGTGGGACGTGTGCGTCCGAAATTCAATATTATGCAAATCTGCTTTCAAAGCAGGTTTTTTTGTTTGTTTGTTTTTGCAATTACGTATGCGGTTATCAATCAAATAAGTTATTTATAACATTCTTTTTGAAATATTTTGTCAAATGTTGACTAAGTAAAATTTGATAAGTCTGTCCTTCTCCCTCATTACTGGCAACTCCTCCTATGTTGCAGTGCTTCCATTTTCCATATATATATATATATATATATTTTTTTTTTATTTTATTTTTATGCATACTTTGCAATCTTAGCTGCAATTCATTTTGTTCCTATAGAAAAAAAGAGCATATAATTCTAAAATACAGGCCTAGAGACCCCAAATAAAACTGGTGTTAAGGACTATTCTTGAATTCAATCAATCTTATCACTGCCATATTTTTTTATGTTTCTCTATAGTTGCTATCATCTTTGTCTTAAACTTGTTAAATCCAAGTGAGCCATGCAGCCCCTTCCCTTTCCTTGTCAGAAAGGGTATGTGGATTAATGCATCCCCTCTTTTTTTAATGCGGGTTATTTTTTTATTATTTATTTATTTTTTTTTGCATTTTTTTTTTTTTTGGGCTATATCTTAACTATAGCTTATCATTCTCTTCCTTTACGTCTGAGGATTAACGGTAATGTTAAATACACACAGAGGCAAACACCACAAGGATGAAGGAGTCAAAATTTTCACTGAAATGCAAATGCCATTTTATATTAAAAGATAGCAAAGAAATAATTCACTATATCACACAACACAGCTTGTTAGTACTGCCAGGGAAATACATATACAGCCTTTTCATATTTACAGATGAATGACAACCCCCATAAAGAAAAAAAAATCATAAATACCTTTTTTGTTAACTTTACAACAACTATATGTGACCAGTATTTCATAAGATAAAAGAGCACTATCAAATAACTGTCACCTTTCATGTCATTTACAAAGCTTAAAAACACAGTGGCTAAAATAATCCAGCAAAAATAGAGACAAGAAAAAAAACAAAAAAAATACTTTTTTTTCTCTCCAGTGAGTAAAATTAATACAAGTCTAAAATCGGTCATTAAATCCCTTTGTACAAAAGACTTTACAAATCCTTTAACACAATATAAACAGAAACGTTTGGTTAAATCCACATGGTAAAATCTGTACATTTTAAGCATGTCCTGCAGCAAAGTTTGAAAGACTGTGAGCCTGGATAACATAATACTGGGTCGACACAATGCTCCGAAGGCCCTCCTGTCAACTAATCCTTAGAGACTGTAGTTATGTAGCTGCCAAGACCCTCTTCCATTAGCCTCAGTGCTTAGTCTAGCAGCAAATCAGCGAGTTGCTGAGCTTGTAGCAGATCCTTCAAAATACACGGCTCTATTATATCAAAAAGATATATTTGTCTGTATAGTAATATAGTATTTTGAAGTGCATTTAAACAGCAAGACCTGTACTCTAATGGCAAAGCAATACTCAAGAACTGTTACTTGCATTAGGGTCAGCAGGGAGCATGTTAGAGACTTATTTCTAAATAAGAACCCTAAAGAGGTAAGATTTACATGCTGGACGACTTCTTTTAGGAAGTAGATTGCTAAACTCAAGTTACAAAGCAGTAAATGTTCTATTTTATCTAAGTACCATTTCACCCAGCAAATACAGATTTTTGACCCACTTGCCTCTAAACAGTAAGCTTAGAAGGTAGAAATCCAAAGTGAAGAGTAATAATAAAGTGAAGAGCTTTAATATGATCAATACCGTGCCAAAAGTGAACATTCATCACACACATGGAAATATCAGGTAAAAAACACTGATAAAGCATTTAAAAGGGGAAATAAATAAACTGAATTGCGAGGAGTTTGTTTTAACCCGCTTACAAGTAAAGTTCTGAATTAGTTAACCCTAGAGAGATTTACATTCTAAAGGTAAGTGCTACTATAGCTAATATTTAAATGTTTAGAAAATCTGAGCAAAAATGTTGCTCTTTTTTTTTTAGGGGGAATATTAAAGAAAATAGGCTTAATGAGACTGACCAAGTTGTGTTGAGATGTTTCCATCTATCAGCAAGACTAAACAGCTAAATAAGAGAAATGTCATTAACATTTTATCAATACAATATTAAATATACAACTGAAGGAGAGAGAATAAAGTGTTTCACACTTGAGAGTTTGCATTTTTAATGTTTGTTCATGGATTAACATGCATTAAAATATAAACTAAAGGGAGTTTTTTTTTTCTCAAACTGCAACAGTGAGTTTGTAGAGTTAGCATTAAAAAAAATAACATAAAAAAAAAATAAAAAACATCCCAGAAAAATTCAGAATCTCCAAAAGCAAGTGAAGGCGGAGAGGGAAGAGAGGAGACGGCGTGAAGTCTCGCCCTTTGGCACTGTTAGAAAACCAAGCTTAGTCCTGCTGCACAAACTGCTCACACAACACTCAGCAAAAACCCACTCAAGTAAAAAAAAAAAAGAAAAGGTTCATAAATAGAGTTTTTATAGTCATGACTGGCATTTGAGTGAGCGCTGTTGTAGAGTCATCCATGTAATATGTTGGTTTAGCTTTTTTCCCCCAAAATACTTTCCAAAGGTAAAGTAAACACAGAAGCAGTCGTCTTGAGTCTCTGTCCTTTAAAAAGCCTCCAGATAGTCTTAACTTCTGTTTACATCCTCCCTGGAGTCCTCAGCTTTATTACAGCAGCATGCTCCTTTAGTTTATCACCTCGCCTGGAAGAGGTGACACTAGGAGCGCTGCTGCTCTGTGTTTATGTGTATAAGCAGGACAGAGCTCCTGATTCAAAGACGGGAATTGGTTTTTGTGTCTAGCCGGGTTCATATGAACTATTACTTTATGTATGCTTTGAATTTGTACCAGCTCTAAACACAGGTGTCTGCAGGTGTGTGTGTGTCATGTGATGAATGGTCGGGAGGAAGCGCAGAGGGAATCTCTCTCACACTTCGCTCTCGGTTGAGGGTTTGCGTATGGAAGCCCAGCCGGTGTCGGGCAGGCTGTGCTCGGCATGGCGCTGTGGGGTGATGGCTGAGGGGGTGAGCGTGCTTATAGAGGAGCACTCAGACGCTTCCTCCTGGAGGAGCTGCTCTCTCTCGCCGTCGTCGAGTGAAGCGCTGCTGGTCTGCAGGGACACGGTGTCTGTGCGAATGCAGGTGTGCAGGCCGCCTCGAGATGGCTTTATCTGTTTTAAATCATCCCAGTAAAGCTCTTCGCTGGACAGGAGACACACACCCTCCACTATGCGGATCTTCTCCTTTGTGTAGCCTCCATCCACTCCGACCTGGATAAGGAAACAAACTGTTGATATAGTCCTACTATGCCCTCCGAGGTACTCCAACGATCTGACATTTTGTCACTGTTTAATTTATTTAGGATTTTATGGGATCAACCAACCAAAGCTTGTGAGGAGTCATGAAGTAGAGTGAGATGGATACATGTTTTTTAACAAATAAAAGTGGAATCTACTTGCTTCTATTTTCTAAATAGCTCAAGCTCAGTCAGAATGAAGTGAGACGTCCTGCAAGTGTCTGTCTGGACCATTAAAGCCCATTAGTACTTGGGTAAAAATCTTCTTTGTTTGTGGTTGTGTGCTTCAGGTTATTTAACCTGCTCTATGTTTACATCCAGTAAATAAGGAAAAATTTGGGAGGCTGTGTAACATTTTACGTCCTGTTCTAAGAAACTAAACCCTATTGATTGCTTGTGTATGTGAGAAAAAAAACCCTTAAATTCTACAATACAGCCTGTATTAAAGGTCATAGCTACGACTTTTTTATCAAAACAATTATAAGAAGGTAAAGTAGGTCTTTATATATATATATATATATATATATATATATATATATATATATATATATATATATATATATATATATATATATATAAATATATATATAAAAAGTGATATTAATTTTGAAGAGTCCAAAACAAATATTTACTTCTGGTTGCGATGAAGCAGGTTGACAAAACAATTCCTGCACCAATAGGAATAGTTGTTTGTCCTGTTATACAGAGCTCAGGCCTTACCGGATCCTATTAGCTCTGTGACGGAGCTGAAGTACGGCTTCTTCTCAGCGTTATTTTTTTTTTATTTTACATTCAAGAATCCCCCAAAAAATAGAAAATCAAAAAGGAGCAAAATGAGCGTGAACACTGGTCAAGCTGTTTTTGTTGTTGTTTTTTTTTTACAACAACATAATGAAGCAAAGGGGCTCAGAAGCTAGGGGTGAAGTTGCTGTGTTTTTTCTGATCAGGTAAGTTAAATGCATGCTAATGGTTTAATAGACCCGGAAACCGGCTGGGAAACAGAACAGAACCAGAGTGGGTTTTCGCAATACTTTGTGGTTGAGACAATCAACTTTATGGTGTTTTCAGGGCATCAGGCTACAGGAGGGTCTATTGAATTAGTCTTTTCTTAACCAATAATTTATCTTTTCTTAATCTTTTAATTTGCATGTTTTCTAAGCCAAAACAAGGCTTTGTTGGGCTACTGTATTGCTACATCCCAAAGATGGGTGTTATTTTGTTCTTGCATCCAATTAACACCTTGCTCTGTTTTGGGCTCCACCTTTAAGATTGGATGCTGCTTCCTAAGTCTCAGCCCAATCAAGATCACCTGCACACTATTTAAGGCCTGTGAAGCTGTACTTCAGGACCTCTGGGCCATTTGTCTGCCATACACCTCTGTGGTCATTGTAGAATCTAATGGGCTGGTAATTTGCTGTCATGTAAACCTGCTTGGATGGTTTTTGTAGGGGAGAGCTACCTTTTTGCTGAACCCCAATTCTCTCCTGTTTATCTGTTGGTTAGGTAGGTTATTTTGTAGATTTGTATACTTTGGTTTCATATTGAGTTAGGTAAGACAACTTTTCTTTTTCTTTTAGGGTTGTTTTGTTTGTTTGTTTGTTTGGCCTGAGCTCTCCCTGAAGCCTTTACCATAATTTATTTAAAGGAAATGGCAGAATAAACCTTTTTAAATGCCTTTTTGACTCCATCATTCACTGTCTAAATTTAATTTGGTCCCTTATACCTCCTAGACCCAGCCTGGGGACGGAACATGTATAAAGCTTCAAACTCAATGCTGTTTCTGACATTTTGAATTGAAAAAGCTTCTGGATAGGAAGCAAAACATCTTCAAACTTTTTTTTTTCCCCTTTTTTTTTTTAGCTTTTTTGGAATCTTTTCTTAACCACAAAAAAAAAATAATAATAATAAATACTAGAAAAGAAAGTAATTATTAAATTGTTTTGGCTGCTTTTACACTACAGGTGCTGGTCATAAAATTAGAATATCATGAAAAAGTAGATTGATTTCAGTAATTCCATTTAAAAAGTGAAACTTGTATATTATATTCATACATTACATACAAACTCATATATTTCAGATGTTTATTTTGTTTAATTTTGATGATTACAAATGACAACAAATGAAAATCTCAAATTCATCATATCAGAAAATTAGAATATTGTGAAAAGGTTCAAAATTGATGGCCCCTGGTGCCACACTCTAATCAGCTAATTAACTCAAACCACCTGCAAAAGCCTTTAAATGGTCTTTCAGTCTAGTTCTATAGGCTACACAATCATGGGGAAGACTGCTGACTTGACAGTTGTCCAAAAGACGACCATCGACACCTTGCACAAGGAGGGCAAGACACAAAAGGTCATCGCTAAAGAGGCTGGCTGTTCACAGAGCTCAGTGTCCAAGCACATTAATAGAGAGGCGAAGGGAAGGAAAAGATGTGGTCGAAAAAAGTGTACAAGCAAGAGAGATAACCGCACCCTGGAGAGGATTGTGAAACAAAACCCCTTCAAAAATGTGGGGGAGATTCACAAAGAGTGGACTGCAGCTGGAGTGAGTGCTTCAAGAACCACCACACACAGACGTATGAAAGACATGGGTTTCTGCTGTCGCATTCCTTGTGTCAAGCCACTCTTGAACCACAGACAGCGTCAGAAGCGTCTTGCCTGGGCTAAAGAGAAACCGGACTGGACTGCTGGTGAGTGGTCCAAAGTCATGTTCTCTGATGAAAGTAAATTTTGCATTTCCTTTGGAAATCAAGGTCCCAGAGTCTGGAGGAAAAGAAGAGAGGCACTTCATCCACGTTGCTTGAAGTCCAGTGTAAAGTTTCCACAGTCAGTGATGGTTTGGGGTGCCATGTCATCTGCTGGTGTTGGTCCATTGTGTTTTCTGAGGTCCAGGGTCAACGCAGCCACATACCAGGAAGTTTTAGAGCACTTCATGCTTCCTGCAGCTGACCAACTTTTTGGAGATGCAGATTTCATTTTCCAACAGGACTTGGCACCTGCACACAGTGCCAAAGCTACCAGTACCTGGTTGAAGGACCATGGTATCCCTGTTCTTAATTGGCCAGCAAACTCTCCTGACCTTAACCCCATAGAAAATCTATGGGGTATTGTGAAGAAGAAGATGCAATACACCAGACCCAACAATTCAGAAGAGCTAAAAGCCACTATTAGAGCAACCTGGGCTATCATAACACCTGAGCAGTGCCACAGACTGATCGACTCCATGCCACGCCGCATTGCTGCAGTAATACAGGCCAAAGGAGGCCCAACTAAATACTGAGTGCTGTACATGCTCATACTTTTCATGTTCATACTTTTCAGTTGGCCAACATTTCTATAAATCCTTTGTTTTTATTGGTCTTCAGTAATATTCTAATTTTCTGATATGATGAATTTGAGATTTTCATTTGTTGTCATTTGTAATCATCAAAATTAAACAAAATAAACATCTGAAATATGAGTTTGTATGTAATGTATGAATATAATATACAAGTTTCACTTTTTAAATGGAATTACTGAAATCAATCTACTTTTTCATGATATTCTAATTTTATGACCAGCACCTGTAGTAGAAAACAATTCAGTCTGTTAGATTACAACATTTTCAACTATGTGAAATATTTTTATCTTTAGTCTTTTAGCAGCAGGCTTCATTGGTTAGTTTTATGAAAAAAGAAAACAGGTAAATTATCACTCCAAAAACAATATATCAGTCATCACTCAAGGCTTAAAGCCCCTCTCACAACTTGTTGATTTAGCCAGAGTATACCAGACGTCCCAGAATCTTCTGTTTTTCTATCTGTATTTTTTTTTTATTTTGGGCGTATAGAGTATTCATAACGAGTCCAGAACTTATGTCCAACAACAGCCTAACTTATGCATGATGTACGGCAGCGTAACGCCCATGAAGTGATGCACAAGCCAGTGTCCTGACGCAGGCAGCGATGCACCCGGAGGGGCCCGGTCTGCATAAAAAGATTTCTTTGATCGCGGTATTAACCTAGCTGCTGTTTACTGCCTGCAAAAGAGAAAAAGTAAATAAAAAGAAAAAGAAAGAAAGAAAGAAAGAGGTTTGCTGTCGCAGCAAATTCAACTTCATGTCTACTAGGAAGTTTGTTGGTTGTTGGCGTAAATGCATAGAGTATTCATCACACTCATCTTATGATGGGTATGAAGGCTGGAGGAGAACTGAAACACGTCTGTAACACGTCAAATATGTTGATATGCATTGGAGATAAGTTCTTCATAAGTGACGCATAAGTTATGTACAGGTTACTCATAGGTTTTGGATAAGCTAGACACCACGACTTATGAGCAACTTATACTTAACGTGTGTCAACGATCAGATAACTTACTTGTAACTTATGACCCACGTATGAGCATATGCTGGCATACGTCTCAACGTACTTGCCTTATGTCGATATTATGTCGATATGGCCAGCGTGTTTCAGCGTGCTCATAACTTATCCAACGCATGCCAGCGTTTTTACGCGATATTTTGTACGTCAGATATCCGCTGGCTAAATCCCCAAGGTGTGACAGGGGCTTAAGGTGGCTAATGTTTAGTAATAGTGAGCTCGCCTTCTGATAGTTAGTATTCATTAGCCTACGGCTAGAAAAAAAGACATTTAAATTGTTCTGCATGCCTCAGATAACATTACATTTTTATTTATTTTTTATTTTCTATCCAACTTTGAAATAGGCTATAAAACAGCTGTTAGAGGTTTTGGGACGGTAGCTGGCATGCAATTACTAACTAAAGAAAAAAAAGAGCATCAGACACCACTGGGACACCACTCTTCCATGCAGTGCAGCTACCTCTCCTTGGGGACAAGTGGGTCAAAAGATAAAGGGGGAGAGAGAGTTGTAGGGATGTGAGAGCTGCAGCAGTGAAGAAAAGAATGGAGAGAAGATAAGCACTGATGTGTTTGGCCTATAAAAACCACATGTTGCAATAATCAGAACAAGGAACGCCAAGAGTCACATTTTAAAGCCGTCTCTTTAAGAAATCCCACAAAGTGACAGCTGTCTCTGTAAAAACTTTAAATTCTGCATGGCCTTTACCTCCTTCTTATATCGAAGCTGGTTGTATATCGGAGGCTTCTGTGACGTTTCGATCTTCACCTCTTGTGTGGATGTTCGATATGACGGGTTACTGTAGGTCAGATTGCTCACACCAGGCTCAGCAAATTTAGACTTTTTGTGTCTGTTCAAATTACCAAAAACAGAAATCACAAATGTTAATATTGGTTGAGTATCAAAAGAATGGGCTTCCATGAATGGTGCTGTGAGCAAAAGACTCACCTGTAGATGATAAAAGCAGCAATAAGGATCAGAATCGCCAGAATGGTGAGAACTCCTCCAATCACATAGCTTATATGAAGTCCTTCTCCTAAAAAAGATATGAACAATGGAAAGACTTCTATTAGTACTGACTTAAGTGCTCAGTTATGAATTGAGTGATTTACCAGATATGTCATTTAAAAATGGATAAAAATGAACTTTGCATTTAACTATTAATGAGATTAATGACGTCTGTTTAAACAGATATAAAATACATTAGAGAACCAGGTAGAATTAGCTATAAAGGCTAGATTTCTTCTGTAGTCCCTCATTGGCCAGAGTAGTACAGATGTACCGATTCTGTCATAAATCAAATCTATGCTTGTTTTTCGACACTTATGTCAAAGATTTCTGAAGCCTTTTTTAAAAACACATTTAATAAAAAAATAGTAAAAAATGAGTTCAATAAAGCGGAAAGAAAAAGCTATTCTAGAGTTAAAATGGCAGCCAATGTGGAAAGATCAGAAGTGTGTTTTACTGTGTACTCACCATGAGGAGCTGTCACTACCTGGTTCATGCAGCCAACAGCGTTTAAATCCTTATCAGTGCAGCTGAGAAAAAAAAAAAAAAAAGCTCATGATAATCTTGTGTTGTAACAAAAAAGGGTACAGTTGACATCTGTTCAGGTTTTACTTTGGAGATAAAATGTGTTTAGTTTTGTTAGATCAAAGAGATCCTTAAATTGGACAATCATAATTCCCAATGAATGCATCAATTTAACACATTAGAAGCTTTACTAAATATCTTGTTTTTGATTAGTAAATATTTTTCCATAACAGTACATTTAATTAAAAGAGATAATTATCAAACAAACATACTTATTCAGAGAGGGTCCCCTTTGTGACGTGTCTGTAGGTCCATTGGGGATCTTTCTGGGAACAGGAGTACTGCTGGCATCTTTGGTAGGAGAAGTGGGGATGTAACCTGGAACTAAACAAATGTATCCACATAAGAATCAGAGTATTCAGAAAAACACTAGTGCTCTTCTTTCCGTCTGTGGTTATCTATTATAAACCCTCCTTTTTAAACAAATGGCATCTTAAAGGAAAATTCCGGTTTTTAACACTTTTAGACCATTTTCTGTAGTGTCCAGGATGAAATCGAATGATCGACACCAAAATGTTGACAATTGGTCCTGTCTCTGCTATTTGGCTCATGCAGAATCCCCCCCTGGCTGCTTCAGAATGGCTTCCATTGTGCATGTCCGATAATGTCCTTAAAACAACCTTAAACGTTCTTTTTTTTAAATATGCTACTCACCGGGTCGTCAGCGCTGTTCAATGACGTTCCAAAAAAAGTTTCGTGAAGAAAAAACGTTCCTGTCTTGTTTTATTTAGCATTTTGTAAATCCCAGAACTATTTTTTCCGATACATCACAACCGCTTATAAACTTCCGCTTCCCGTTCGAATCTGAAGCGTTGCACACTCCAGACCACTAGTTGGCGACGGTATCCTCTACCGTCAAACTCAAAGTCCAATATGTCCTCCTCAAGAATCCACCTTTCGTATTCCATTTTCAGAGTTTTTTAAAGTGTTTAACAGAGACGTTAGCACCTCGACGTCGGAGTACACAGAGTGAAGCAGAAACACTTGGGCCTTGCGAAAAGACTACAACTAAGCGTAAACAGGCCCCATTTCCGTTTCCGGTGGCGGAGGGATATTGACTATTCCAACAGAACTCAATGGGATTTACAAAATGCTAAATAAAACACTACAGGAACGTTTTTTCTTTACGAAACTTTTTTTGGAACGTCATTGAACAGCGCTGACTGAGTGAGTAGCATATTTAAAAAAAAGAACGTTTAAGGTTGTTTTAAGGACATTATCGGACATGCACAATGGAAGCCATTCTGAAGCAGCCAGGGGGGGATTCTGCATTAGCCAAATAGCAGAGACAGGACCAATTGTCAACATTTTGGTGTCGATCATTCGATTTCATCCTGGACACTACAGAAAATGGGCTAAAAGTGTTAAAAACCGGAATTTTCCTTTAAATCGTAGCCTAGAAAGTTAATTATCCATAGCTGTTTGTATTTTATGAAACTCTGTAGTATTATATAACATATAATGCAATAGTACATTTGTCTGGTTAGGACATTCACTAGCGGAGACATGTGCGCAGTATACATGAAACGTGAACAGTGCATAGGAGCCCCATATGAATATGACTGAAGTCACGTTTTCATAGTTTTACATTTTTCTACTATAAACTGTACAGTTAGTACAGTGTTTCTGATTTCATGTTTGAAGTGGGGAAGGACTTATTTTTTCTATTAAAAAAATGTACTAAAGGCTGGCACTGAAAAAAAATATATAAGCAACATTATTGATATATTTTATCATGTTTTTGAGTCATAAATGTAATGTTGTAATGCACTCTCTGTTAGCACAAGTGTAAAGACATTCCGATTTCAAATCACACCCTGAAAGGTGTCAGATTTGTTGTGAGAAGATCCTAACCTCCAATATGATGTATTTGTAAAAGCTTTTTAGCAGAGGATTGAGTCCCTGCAAATGGTAACAGAGAAAACTAACCAGTAGAACAGGGACGCCCATCCAGTTCATCCGGACAGGCACAGACAAAACTGTTGGTCTTGGCGAAGCAGAGGTGAGTGCAGCCACCATTATTTATTCCACACAGATTAGTACCTAATGGAAAGGAAGGAGAACAAGCGGCATAAATGGATTATTTGAAAATCAATATCTTGGTTTTTGCTCCTTTTACAAAGTGAAGGCAGCAGTTTTCCTGGAACAAATATCACCTCTAGGGAAGAAAGAGATTTTAAGATTTATTTTGTAAGCTTAATAAGAGAAGTGAGATTAAATTACTCTAAAACAAAAAGGCATTTAAAATTATTCTGAGAACCCAAATACCATGAGATTTTAAGTTACATAACGGGATTAAACAAGTTTACATAAATCTGCTATAGTTTTATGTTTTATGCAGAAAATGCTTTGAATGTTCCTACAGGTTACCTTCTAAGCTGTGTCATCAGTAGAAATAGTTTTTGACCAGTAGATGGCATTATATTCCTGTTAGAACTTCTGGTTCATAATTTTAGACAAAAAAAAAAAAAAACACTACAAACCGATGAAGAGGTTTTAATGTCTCCCATATAACCGAGATAAATGCCTTACCTGTCTGTCTGTGTGGAGATACCACTATGATGTCCATCAGACCCTCCACATTGGCCAGCACAGTTTCCTTATTTCGGCCAGTGTGTTTATCCACCCGCTGGATGGACTTAGTCTGCCAGTCCGTCCAATAGATCCAACGGTCTTGCTGCGAGAGTCGGGAGAAAGGGGTTAGAGGGGAGGACACCGGCTTCGACTGGGGAAACGGGGGAGAAGAGAGGAGGAAAAAACACAGACAAGGAGCAAGGGGTGAGGGAAAGAAAGGGAAGGGGAACAGGGGAGGGAGATAAAGAGAGAGAGAGAGAGGAGGAAGAAAAATGAGTGGAAGGAAAGTAGACGAAATGGTAAAGTTGAATGAGTTCGATATGAGCTGGAGGACGAAGAGGCAACAATGAGAATCACACGGTGAGCCGATGAGCCATAGAGAGCAGGTGAGTGGAGGAGGCAGCCATGAGGGAGGGTCAGCCCTGTGATTCACAGCCCAGCTAACGGGGCAGGGGGGTTAAGGAGAGTACCTGAGTTAGAGCGAAAGGGTGCTGCACGGGATTAACGAGGACCTGACGCAGCTTTCCATTCAGGTCTGAGCTCTCAATCCTGTCCAAGTGAGCATCTACCCAGTAGATCCTGCAAAGAGAATCAACACGTCATAAAATATGCAATACTATGAAATACTATGGGCTAAAGGGCTTAAAAATCTTATATCTGATCTTTTTACCATCAAATCAGACAAATAAATCTTTTTCTCCCTCAAGTTTCATAATAAGTAAAAGAAATGACATAGGGCTAGTTTTTTTTTCTTCAATTATCCGCTCTGGGAGGTGACCTTCATTTAATAGGCGACACAATTCCAGCTGTTAAACATGTAAAAATAATCATGTTTCACAACAAACAAAAGCAACTAAATATTTGCAGCTTGTAGGGTTGAACATCTGGCTAGTTTATCAGTTATCAGCACACATCTAAGAGCAGAAAGGGATGAAGTGATGTCACTTAGCTATGGAAAACCAAGAAGTGCATTGGTGGCGAAGAAAAAATCTCCATAAAAAAAAAAAAAATTCATATCGTTCATTTAAAAAAAAACAAAAAACAAAATTTCATTTTCAATCAATTATATTGATTAATCTCCCAGCCCTGATCAGAACTAGCATAAACTTCTCCAACACAGCAAGCCACAGTGTCTGGTTTTTCAGCTGGACCATAAAGGTCCACCCTCCCGCCTGACTTTAACAGACAGATCCACAGCACCCCAGTTAATATTTAAGGTTTGAAAGGCTGTAACCTATTAAATCATCAGTCAAGTATGATTGATTATGCTCACCCATTTTTGCTGCTTTTAGACACAGTGGCTTTTAGGAAAATCTGTTTCCTTGCTGCCTAATATATTCCACCCCCGACAGGTGGTATGATGAAGGGGCAGTTATTCATATTTTGCTGTCTGGACTAAAACCCGCCATTAAAGTATTTTATCTGCTTGTTCTAACCTCCTGGTGTCATAGTCCAGCGTGAGGCCGTTGGGCCATCCCAGGTCCGTATTGATGAGGACTTTTCGGTCAGATCCATCGAGATGAGATCTCTCAATCTTCGCAATGTGCCCCCAGTCAGTCCAGAAGAGAAACCTGTAGAAAGACGGCAGGACAATCCAAACTTCACTTTATGCCAGATGATTTTTTTAAAAATATACAAAATATGATCTAACAAACTGTTATTCATTAAATCTCCACTCTTACCCTTTGCTTGGAAACACCGCTATGGCTCGTGGCTCATCCAAACTGTTGTTGACCAGGACTTTGCGGCAAGTCCCGTCCAGGCGTGCCACCTCAATGGTGTTGCGTCCAGTGTCGGTCCAATACATGTTTCTAGCCACCCAGTCCACAGCCAGTCCATCTGTTGTCTTTAGGCCCTGACTGATAACTGTTTCCATTCCACTGCCATCTAGATTTGCCCTCCTATAAGAAGGGAAAAAAAAAAAAGCAACCAGGTTAACACTCATAAGTTACGGCAACATGTACCTTTTATTCTCCATTTGTTGTTAAATATGAAAATCCCCAAACCATTGCCTTTCAACAAAAACGAAAAAGATTTAACACATTTTTCACCTGATAACATCCAGGGTGACGTCGGTGTAATAAAGTTTTCCATCAACGCTGTCGTAATCAAGTGAGATGACATTGTGCAGCTCAGGAACTGGCACATGCACATCGGTGTGGTCACTCGTGTCCAGGGAGATTCTGCGCACACTGACCCGGTTAGAGAAGATCAGATACGTCTCTGGGGAATCTTCACATGACCTGCCATCTCCCTTCAGCTGAATGCCGGTGGGACATGCGCAGGAAGTGCCATTTGGACGAGGCAGACACAGGTGTGTGCACCCTCCATTCCTCCTGCCACATTTATTAAAACCTAAAAAAGAATCAGAGAGAACAACTGAGAAGGGAATTAAAGCTGCACCCAATAACCAATCGTTGCAGACAGAATTCATTCCTCTAGGCTTTATCCCTATAAACCCTTCTGGGAAAAAATCAACGCCTGATCCTCATGTCCTACCGAGTGGCCTCTCTCTGTCCACAGCTTGGATGTCCATCAGGCCTGGCAGATTTGCTCGGACTGTAATGGTGTTGGCCCCTGTGTTCTTGTCCGCTCGCTGGATGCTGCGGCTCTGCCAGTCGGTCCAGTAGATATGGGACCCCAGAAGGGTCAAACCATATGGGTGTTGGACGGGAGTAACAAGGGTGCGTCGGTTTTGCCCGTTAAGGTCAGCTGCCTCAATACGCTAAAATGAGAAGGATTACTTTGCTTACAACAGTGTCATTATAGTCTATCATTTTATGAAGAATCCTAAAAACTGTGAACTGGGTGGTTAGCCCATTAAATCATATGACATAAAATAAATCTGTGCTTTAAGGCTGACCTCAGTGTGAGCGTCAGCCCACAGCAACTGTGATCCAGCTGTGTCAACAGCCAGGCCGTTAGGCCAGCCCAGGTTATTATTTATGAGGACCACACGATCAGATCCATCCATAGCTGAGCGTTCTAGCTTAGCATGTTCTCCCCAGTCAGTCCAGTACATGTAACTGGAAAGCAAACACAAATGAAAGAAGGAATGGAGCGTTAGGAAAATAAACAAAGAAAATGCTGAATACCTAATAGAGCTTCTCACAGAAAGGAATAAATATAAACAGCTGAACGCTTAATAGTCCTTCTTTCTCACCCCATTTCATGGTAGAGGGCTATCGCACGGGGACTGTCAAGGTTCTGCCACACAAGAACTTTTCTCATTGAGCCATCCAGGTTTGCAACTTCAATACGGTTGATTCCAGTATCAGTCCAGTAAATCTTCCTGCCGACGGCATCCACAGCCAATCCATCCGTCGTCACCAACCCTGCAGAGACAAGAAGCTCAAGTAACCACATCATGATAGAGAGATGTCTGACCACTGTTTGCCCAAACCTGTGGATATGATGTCTTCATGGGCTGTTCCATTGATGTTTGATCTGCTGATTTTCTTCAGTGTGCTGTCAGACCAATAAACTTTACCTGCAAAAGGCAAACACATAAGAACAAAAAACAACAATTTAATGTCTACTACACATAGATTTGCTGTTTGAAAAAATCAGGAGGATATTCAAACCTTCTTTGGGATCAACTCCGATAGCAATAGTGTTTTTCATTGAGCTATTGACTGCCAGAACCACATCAGCAAAATATGGAATGTCAAGAGAAACCATCCTGATGTCTGTTCTCCGAGCAAAGATAAGGAAGCTGCTCATACCTGCACACACGTCAAAACACATGTTCTATATTCAACTAGCCTTTTGCTGTTACTCTTGTTTTCTTATTTTACAGTCCTTTCAGATATACTTTACCTAGATTGTACATTAAAGAACAAAGTATAAAAATATCACGATTAATAAAATATGTGAATTATCTTTCCTAATATTTATCCACAGTGAAAATCCAAACAGAAGCTCTTTGCATAAGTATTTTTAGAATGAAAACAGAGGGTTTTCTGTACCAGGTGTGCAGGTCTTCCCATCACTCTGTAGATTGATGCCTGTGGGACAGGAACAGCTGCAAGCTTTGGGTGCAGGCGCCAAGAGACAGAGGTGGCTACATCCTCCATTATTCACAGCACACGGGTTATGCACTACGGAAAGATTGTAGAAGCAGATATACTATCAAAACCTGACCTATTTAAGATATAAGCTCAGTAGAAATACACTTCAATAATGGTAAAGTACAAACAAGTTTTCACTTTTTTCTGCATTTACAAACCAGATATGTGAATAACAGCGCAAAATGTAAAAAAAAAAAAGAAAACTACACAACGGAATGTGGTATTAAGGTGTAGAAAGCCTAAATTACAAGTTAGTACATTCCTAAAATGATGCAGCCCCTTTAAGCAATGTGGGAACGTTCTTGTAAAGGATAACAATTTCAGAGAACAATAAACATAAAAACATATAAAAATGAAAGCAATGAGACCTCCAAAAAATTACATTGCTTAGAAATGGTTCTGGAAATAACTTTTTGAAGCCAATTGGTATATTTTAATAAAAAAAAAAAAAAAAAAAAAAAATCTTAGAATTTAACAATGTTTCATTAAGAGGGAAATTCAAAATAATCTGTATTAATATTAGAACTCTTTGGGAACATTCAAAATGGTTGTGGTTTCACTTTGTTCTTGTTTTACATCTTTACATTAAACTCTCCAAAGTAAATTCTAACAGATTGATGTTTAGCTGTAGCTCTAACAATGACAATCAAGAATAGTTAAGTAAAATAGTTAAAAAACAAAAACAGCACATAGCACAAAACTGCTTCAAGATACTCTAACTTTGCAGCAATTGTTATTAGAGAGATAAAAAAAAAAATACTGACCTGTTTCCCGATGCCGATGGAACATGTGAATATCCATAAGGTTTTCCAAGTTTTCAGCCAGCGTATGGCGGCCCAATCCAGTCAGTTTATCAGCACTTTGGATACTCTTGGACAGCCAATCTGTCCAGTACAGCTTGTCCTCATGTACAGTTAGGCCAAAGGGATGGGGCAGCTGGCTGCCTATCAAAACCTAAAAACAAAGTGGAAAGTTAGGAAAACAGGTTCCATATGTGGTTGAAAAGTGTATATAAATTTACATTTTCCAAAAAATAGCCATATGTTACCTGTCTGTCAGAGCCGTCAAAGTTGCCATACTCAATAGTTTTCATGCCTGCATCGGCCCAGTACAAACGTCTGGTCTCGTAATCAATGGCGAGTCCATTAGGCCATGTCAGATTGGAAGAGATTATGACAATCCGATTGGAGGCGTCCATCCCTGCACGCTCAATCTTTGGGTTGGCTCCCCAATCAGTCCAGTACATGAAACTAACACAACAGGAAAACATTCAGAATTTCTACATGACATCTGGAATAAAAACAAAACACTTTTAATCTGGTCAATGTTCTTACCCTCCAGTTGGGTCAACTACAATGTCTCTGGGTCGATCCAGGTTCTCCCAGATCAGCACCGTCCTCATGCTGCCATCGGCATTAGAAACTTCGATACGATCCGTACCTGGCACAAAGAGAAGAACAACAATAATTCCACAAAATGCACTCTCATGCTACTGGTTCGCAGATTATTAGGAAACAATGTGAGGCATTTTACCAGCATCAGTCCAGTACAGTTTGTTGGTCATCCAATCAATTGCCAAGCCTGCAGGGCTCTCCAGGCTTGTATCCACCACCACCTACAGAAGAAGAAACCAGGAGGGAATCACTTGATGTAATTTAAGAACACCTCCAGCAGATGGAGGTATTGCATACATTTAATTTGTCCTCTGCAGCTGTTCTCACTGATTGCATCACTGAGATGGAGAGAGACACACATGGAAGTTTCAAATGTTACAGACCTCCTGCTTGGTGCCGTTCCACAGCGCTCTGTTGATGGAGTCAGTAGTGACATCTGTCCAGTAAATGTAGCCATCTTTGTCATCCCAGTCCACCGCCACAGCATTTCGCACATCGGCCAGGGGGATGACATCATCGGACATATCCTCCGTATCAAAGCTGATTCGTCGGATGTCCGTCCTTCGGGCAAAAAGCAGGAACTTGTCAAGACCTGATTAAAGACCAAAGGTCTTCTGTCAGTCTTCTAGGTTTAACAGTGAGGTTAACAATAAACATGACAACAACAGCAACACCACACAGACATCCAGTAGCTCTTGAATGGAAGAAGTAATCAAACTGTTAGATAATCAATCATAACATAATTAAAGAAAAATAGCAAAAGGGTGTTTAAAAAAGGGACATGAGGTCTTATTCAAGTTGCAAAAATGGTTAATAGAATATTTTTTTGAAAATTTAGTTAAGTAATATTTATTTTAGGTCATCATTCATTGAGGTAGATTAAGATGTCAAAAAATGTTTAAAGCTGCAGTCTGTAACATTGAGGAGAGAGCAGACTTCAACTGAAAATTTGAAGAAAAACAGGTTTCACGCCACTCCCCCACCCTCTCTGCTTCACTCATGCCCCACCTCCAAGCTCCACCCCTCTCACAGCATCTGCGCGGCTACCGCATGCGACCAGAAGGGGGGTGGGGGGAGGGGGGTCGGGATTCAGCGTGTGTGAGCTGTGATTGACACTCCATCAGACGCTCCTCTGGCTGTGATTGGTTGTTTTGACTCGTCCCGAATTATTCTTTCCAGATTGAAATACAGGCAGTAGGCGGTACCAGTTGAAGCAGTTTTTTTCACAGGTTACATATCACATGTACTGCTGTCTGGGCATAGGGACAGTTTTAGCCAATATGACAAAAAAGTGATTTTTAAAAACTTACAGACTTCAGCTTTAACATATACATAAACAGAAGTCTTATTTTCTGCATGCTCATTTGTTTTCTAAAATTTAATTTATTCCTTTGTCTGCAGATCACACCTCAGCTCTCAGGCTGATCCAATTATGTGGCTGTTACAGGATTATCTCTTCTGACTTTTTCCACAGCATGGATTGTTTCAGGATAAAACTGTCAAGACGAAGAGGTGGCAAAAGACTAAAACAACTATCTTGCATCATTTCTTTTCTCATCATTAGTCACCGTCCTAGTTATCAAATCTACTAATTCCAACACTCTAGCTTCATGTTCAGTTATTCTAGGTTTTGGTGAGTAAGGATGGCAAATTTTTTATTATTATTTTTTTTATGTGAAGAGCAAAATCTCACACTGTAAAAAGAAGAAACAATGTGTATATATTGTTTAGAAAAACAATTTTGATATGGGTAATTTTCTGTTTATTTGGCCATATAATTTGGATCATTTCACGTTAAAAGACCCAGTAATGAGGCAGAGGTATTAAACCTTACTACCAATAATAATAATTTTTTTAAACAGTTCTTGATCGTGTGTAAGGATGCCAGAACTTCAACTCTTTTACATAAGATTATGGTTACAGTTAAAGGCAACTTAACACGCATGTCTGGATGATTGCGACTTTTTTCAGGGTGCGAGTTTATGGCTTTATTAACAGGATAGGAAGCTCTGTGACACATGCAGTGATTAATAGACTTACTGTCGGAACACATGTAGTTGTCAACTTTTTTGAAGCCGGTGGGACAAGTGCAGGTGGAGGTTTTGTTGCTGGGGAGGCACAGGTGGCTGCAGCCTCCATTGTTTGATCCACAGCGATTTCTGCCTCCTGAAAGAGAAGAAGTCCCAAAATACATTCAAATTTTTGCACTTTTCTTCAGGACCATGTTTGCTTACCTTCCATCATGTCTTCATAGATTTCTTTTTGGTTTTTTGATTGACGCACAAGTTAGCAACAACAAAATAGTCTATTTAGTGACGCTTATAACTAAAGAACTCTAAAAGCCAAGTCCTTATTTGATGATGGTGTGCCATAGTGTCAGTTTGGCCTCTTGAGCTTTAAATTTATTTAACGATTAAGTTTAACACCAACATGAGCTAGAGTGACTGACAGAACATCCTTTAAAGCAAAAAACATGAGTGTCAGACCTCCCTCTGTAAACAGGCAGCTCAGAGTTCATTCTGGGGTCAGACTATAAGAGTGTTGTCATCCGTACAAAAGAAAACTCTCTCTTGGCTGCATGACAAGAGTAACAAGGTTTGTTATCAAAGAACACCACTCTATGCTGTGATGTCAAAAAAAGACTTTACAAGTGACCAGTTCACAACATTATATAAAACTACTATGGGAATATTTTATTTGGGTGAGACAAGTGCCCAATTCATGCACTAATACCCCAAGACTTCCAATTGACTCTTGATGCTTTATTGATATATGTTCCTATTAGGAATTATATGACACCTGCTTCATCTTATGATTGAAGCTGTGAACAAAGATGTCTTTAGAACAGTGATCCTCTTTTTTAACTTTACTTTATTAAAAGGTACGGCAGCTAAACCTAGTGAAGACAGGGGTTTTACAAAATAACATCTAGTTTTAATCTGATTCTCTCTCTGCTGATGGGATAAGAAAATGTTGTTGTTTTTTTAGTTATTGAAAAAAAGCATGGTGTAACCTTCAAGAGTAACTCTCTTAACTGCCTTGTGCTCACTTTTATACTTCTATAGTACGTATTAGACACATTTCTTGAATTTAAACAATATAAGTAAAGTGTAAACATCGAGGAGCTGTGCATTACACTGTTTTAATGCACAACTCGGGGTGCATTAACACCGTGAAAAACACAGCTTCAAATTTTTTAATCAACTTACATCATGGTCTCACAGGTTAAAAATGTGTTCATTTCATTTGCTAAACTTGCTTACTCTGTTTGGGAATAGGAAGTACCTTCTCATCTTCGCTCTTATTTGACTCCTCCTTCATTAACTCCCTGTATTAATGCATTTCCTGTTCTTGTTTGCTCTCCTTCCCATTCATCAAATGTTTGGTTTCGGTCAAAAATATTCAAATTCACCTCATAATCCATGCTAGCACCATGCCTCATGTTCACCTGTAAAATATGTTCATCTGAATCGGCTGCTTTAAGCATTGCTATGGTGACACCATATCGTGGTGATTAAATTTGCTGAACTAGGTGTGTGTAAACACAAAAATAAAGCACTCCAGTTAAGATCAGTGAATTCTCAGTGACTGTGGTATAATTATGATGAACTGATTTTAATTATTTTTAGAAACTAATTAAAGGAGCTGCTTTTGCTGGTTTCCTCTCCATGCAATGCATCATGTTACCCGTTAAAAATCATGCATGAAACATTTCCATACGGTTTCTATTAAAGCTGTGTACTGACCTGCAGGCTGCCTCTGTGGGTGAAGGGTGTGGATGTCCATGGGAAAGTGGAGCTTATTGCGAATGACCTCCTGGTTTTTACCAGTGAATTTGTTGGCACTGTTGATGCTTTTGGTGTGCCAGTCAGTCCAGTAGAGGCTGTCCTCAAAAACCGTGATGGCAAATGGATGAGGAAGACCTAAACAGGAAGATTAAGTAAAAAAATTTAAATAAAAGAATCATTAAAGAATATTTATTGATAAAAATTGTTTTTGATGGAATGTTTTTCATAAGATACACAAACAAAAGCATAAAGCTTTTTGGTTAGGTTAGCACAAAAACACCCCTGCATGCTGCTCCAATTCACCCTTTCAAACAAAACTCTAAATATCACCCTATCCAGTGTTGTGGACTTGAATGACATCATGCTGTCCGTGCACAGAACTGTTTTCAATTACTCAGCCTCTCATCTGGCCCAAAGCCACTTCTATTGTGGACAATGCATCCAAAACCAAGGAGCGCTCATAATCTGACCTCTCTGTCCAAAATCCAACTGCAAGATCAAAGAAAAACCTTCAACCGAACACAATGAGACGAATAATGGCCATTTCTTTTTTAGGTCTGCCAGTGTAAGGATTTATGTAAGATCCTAATCTCAACAGTAATTGATCCCAGGTTTTCTCCACAGCCTAACAAGGTATGTATAGATTGTATTTGGCTTTCGATTGTGGAACAGTTACAAATCTGAGGTTATTTGGGTCAGATGATCTAGTTAGCGCAAGGAAACCACCATTTTAAATCCATTAGTTTACACATGAGTAATGTTGCCTTTTAAGCATTTTCACCAAAGCTAAAAGAGATCCAATTAATCACAAGCTAAACAGGGAGACAAAGAAAAAAGTGATCTAGTCATATTAAACAGTCCTCAATTCATGTTATTTGTATGGCGCTAATGTACAACACATTATCTTTATGATCATATAGATGGATTGGTTAGAGATTTTCTATTGAAAGAGACCCAGCTGATTGCAGCATATTATTTAGAGATCACGTGACTACGGCGTGCAAAAGAGGAGCTATTGCTATATATGGAGTTAGGGCTGCTACACAAAACAGTTTTTTTTTAATAAACTTTTGGAAATGTAATTGACAAGAAATGTTATATGCAAAAAATAAATGGAAAAAAGTAGTTTAAAATACTGAAATTGATTTTTTTTTAAACAGCTTAAAAAAAGGTTGAATAAAATATTATAACACAAGAAAATCAATACTTCTTGGTTTGCTGTTTATTGGAGGAGTTTATGAAGGGTTCACAGAATCTGAATTCCTGGATATTTTAGCATTTCTTAAATATATCTGAAGTTAGATATGCTGCATATGTTTTGACTTTTGGCCACTAGTGTTTGCCTTAAAATAATCCATTAGGAACAAATATTTACTGCAGAGGAGAGCTTTCTTCTTCATTCTCCCTTTCTCTGCTCCTCTTAACCAGTTCAAATGTCTGCTTCTCTGCTCAGCTCTGTCTGACAGCCTCCCTCCCAAAACAGGAGGTGATCTCAGCATCTCATCAAGGCTAAAAACAAACAAACTGATGCAATAAATATAACCAGATATCTTGAGCTATTAAAAACACTTGACATTATTCTTATACAGCAGCTGGCTAGTCGGTCAACACATGAATTTGCATTTCTACACAGCCTATGAATTTATCTTTAGAAAATATACATATATTTTGATGCATTATAATATCAGCAATTTTCTCAGCTTTAATTTGAGCCATAGTTTATTTAAATCAGAGAAGAAATAAGTTTACTAAAACCACATTTGTTATTGATTCATGCTTTCATTCCCCATGAGAGCAGCAGGTTTTTGTTGACATGACTCAATACATAGCAAAGGCCCATGGGTGCAAACATTACTAGCTATATTGGCTTAAAGGGGGTGTCCTATTCTGTAGGGTATATCAACGGGTTCCTTTTGTAGAAGGAAAAAAGACTAAAGAAATACTGCTAGAGCACAAAAAAACAATATCAAAGCATATTAATGAACCAGTTGGTCCCAGTCAAAGTTTAGATTTTGGAATTTGAATTGCAGTTAATTCTTTTCAATAACATAAATGCCTGATTTGGACTGTCAACAGACTCCCGACCAAAGGAGGGAAGGGAACAAAACATGCCAACCCCTGTAGTGGACCGTTTCAAAGAGGTGGTTAAAATTAATTTTGTTTTTCTTCCTCTGTCCTAAACCTCAACCTAAGCTGTAGCTAAAAAAAGCAGTTTGTTGGGTTTGCTGAATGGATGGAAAAATTGAGTTCTCTTTCACAGAGCTGCTGTGACTGAGGCGGGCATACTGGTGCTTAGCTTTTCAAAACAACACGGCCTGTTTAATGACAGTGTTTTACGACACAACATAAATGTCAATTAGTAAATGGCTAAAGCAGGAGGAAAACTGAAATGATAATGAGTTACAAGAACCAGGATGACTGTTTGTACTCGCATGCAAGACAACGATCTCTTTGTTTCAGTTTTGCAAGATAAAACGTTTGATTTAGCCACCAGGGGTTCAGAGGAATGAACCCAATTTAGGTAAAAATATTGAAACAAAACACTTGAGCTATTAACATCTTAAACTTTTCAGTCTTTACAATAAAATATACTTGATCATAACATCAGTTAACATAACAGAAGCTAACCAATGCATTTTTTCTTCCCTAAACCCCCCAATCAAGTCCAGCTACAAGTGTGAAGTGATACTGATAAAATACATGTATTTCTTTGATCTGGAAGCAACACAATTGAAACAACAGAGCACCCTATGTCCCTTTAGTCATCAGCATCTATGGCTACATTCACACTGCAGGCCTTAATGCTCAGTTCCAATTTTTTTGTGAAATCTGGTTCTTTTGCGTGGTCGTTAACATAGCCAAATAAATGCGACCTGTATGTGATCTTCTGCGTGAACTGCATTCAGACAACTTAAAAAAAAAATGTCCAACATAAAGGATCTGTGCACGCTCTGTGTTTACGGAAGTAAACATGTATATTAGTGCTGGAAGGCATCTAGCGGCCATCTAGCGAGCATTAACAATAAAAACTTCAAGAGGGTTGAAAATAAAGACTGCTCTCTGCATTATGGTCTGCCATGGTTGTTTTTCTTCTCGCATCTGCGTAGCAAGATGCAGAATATTGACCTTTGTTGAATATTAATGACGTTCAGCCCGGGCGTTCAGACGCATGTCGCAATTGAAAAGACCAGAATCGTACGGACCACTTAGCCAAGTGGCCAAGGTCGCATAGGAAAACTGCCAAGAAAAGATCAGATAAAGGTCGCATATGGGCAAAAAAATAAATAAAAAATTGGATTTGGGTCACTTCAGGCTGCAGTGAGAACGTTGCCTATGAAGGCACATAGATCCAACACTGTCACCTTCTTTTCTGTCCTCTCCACACCCTGCTTTTCTGGGACAGCTGGATGAGCAGCTGCATGTGGACAGGAAACCAAACCTTTCACTAACCCTTTAAAAATATGTCTCCTTTAACCTACATGTGGCACAAAGCTGTCCTCTCACATCTCAACAAAATAAGCTGAACTTTGCTTGAAGAGCATTTGAAATGAAGAGGGCTGGAGAAAAGGATGATAGAAAAGTCTGGAGTTATCTTTATTGAATATTTTATTTGTGAATTTCATTTCTCTTTTGGATAATGTTCCTCTGATGTGAAGAATCTTAATCAAAAGGAATATTTCTAAGAGAATAATCAACAGCCAACTTTTCTACCAATGTACTCCAGTGTATTACAAAAAAATGCTTTGGTTTAATCCTCCAACAAAAATAGGAAATGAAGAAACCAAAGTGGCACCATAAATGTTACAAAACAAGAGTAATAACAACTGCAATGTGTTTTTATGCCTTTTCCCAGATTTATTTGCATTCCTCCATGTGAATTCCCTTTTATATATATTTTCGGCATCAATATGAGAGATTTTACAGTTTGATCACGACAAAGCAAAAAATAACTAAGTTAGTGAATCAAACTACTACAGACATCTAGACTGTCCTCTCCCTTCCTGTCCTTCCACATCCAGCTGAACAGGTGTGCAGGCTTGATAGCGCCACCATCTGTGACACCCACCACGGGTGGGCTGGCCCACATCCAGCCGGCTCTCACGCACACATAGACATCCAAACCCACATGCAGATCTATAGGTGCAGGGGGATGAGTGCTCGTTAACATTCCTGGGCACAGCAGCTCAGAGTATAACCACACACACCCTCTCGCACACAGGCTCACAAAAGGAAAACGTCCCATTTGTCCTGTGTTGTCTGAGCAAACAAGCTGTGGAGGAAGGACAGGGCCAATTACAGCCTTTTATCCTCGAAGCACACATCATTAAGAAGAGCTCACAGGAATGATGGCCTGCAAACACACCCACATCAAACATTTCCCCTGTCCTTCTCTTTCTTCTCACTGTTTAACACTCCTGATAACACCAATGGGCTTCTGCGGTCTTTCACTTCATCAGAAACACTCCAGAGCTATAGGTCATTTTGACACATGTGGCATGGATGGATTATATGGCTTCAAAACAGATTTGTAAAAATTATCTGAACAAGGCCGTATCACTGTTAGACAAAGTTCCAGTTCAGAGCCCAGATAAAGCGTTCCAACACATGGTTCTGCCTCAAACTTTCTGGAGCTTGACTAAGCCTGATATACACAGAGAAAACAAACCTTTGCTGAAGCAAAACTGACTTTAAAACAGGCACATTCTGCAAGTAATAGTTTAACACACAACATTTAGAGAGGCCTTTATTTCTCCAGTAACGAATCATAGAGAAAAGAGGCACAGAAAATCTAGTTGAATAGCAGTTGATTAGTTAATCAGCTATTTCAATAATGATGTCTCAGCCTACTGTGGCTACAGACACAATAACTGTCTCAACTATATGTATAGGAACACTTAATCTTCCTAAACTGACTTTTTGTGCGTTTCCATTTTACAGGGAAAAAAAAAACATTTTTATTCACTTATCCCCCATAAATCTGAGCAGTTGCTTTTCCTGCAGTTGAAAAGGGAGCCATGGCTGCCATGTGGGGATACAGATTCTCACCAATCACAACAGCAGGTTCCTGAATGATTCAAATCCTACCAAAACAAGATTAATCTCTGACTGCTTCGTGGCAGTAAGCATTTAAAAGCCATAGACTCAAAACTGTGGGAGGTAGAATGGGTTTAAAATGAACAGCAAGGATTCATTCATCCAACTGGAGAGGAGAGTTCTAATAGGGATTAAAAGCAGTTAGAATAGTTCCTTTGTCAACTTTAGTCCTTTCGTTTATCTTTCAAATATTACAGCGCTATTTTTCAACTACTGCTGACAGATAATCAATGAACAATCCTAGCTGGGAGGTTTAAAATTCTAAATGATTTTCCTGCATCTTCAATCAAATTCTTAAAGAAATATATGCATCATCCACAATCTGCATCAGTAAGTTAAAGCATTAAAAAAACTTAGCAGGGGAGTCACTGAAAAAGGAAAACAGCTGTTTCAAATTTGATATTTAAATCAAACAATTAGAAATCCAATTTTAAAAGTGTTTTCTTATTGTAAAATTTAAATGTTATTTTTAAAGAGGACTTGTAAATTGTAGTAATTAATTCATTATCGAATCCTGCTATTTGAAAATGTTATTTCAAATCCTATTTCCAAAAGAAAACCACAATTCCTAAATCTGAAAAAATAAAAATCTTTCCTAACAACACATTTAAAAAGGAAATTCCTTATTCCATCTCTTTTTGCTTTACCCTCTCCACATTGTTTTTCCATGACCTTTCCGGTGCCTGATAACACTTTAAACGAGTTAAACCAATGACAGTTGTTCCTCAGAAGTAACCAGCTTCCTCATTGGCCACTTTGTGAAGCAAGTGTGGCAGTCTGACCAATTAATTAATTAATTCATTAAACAAACAATTTACAATACCTCTTTGATATTTGAATCAAAAATGTGAAATTAGAAAATTCTTTTCAAACTGGATTTCAAATAGCATGATTTAAATGACAAATTTGAAATGGCTGGTTTTCCTTTTTCAGTGACTCTCCTTGTCCTCCATTATCATTTTTTTTGTTTAAGAAAGATTAAACAACAGGGAAAAAATTACAATAATAAGAAACAGAGTGAGAGAGTGTGTGTGAGTCATTCAGTCAGTATCAGCTTAGTGCCCTGCTTGAAAGAAAACAGCCGATCTCTACCTTGATTGACACCACACATTCCTCTGTAGGAAGTAGCAACATAAACAAAGGCATGCACTCCGTTCTTATTTATGGTTTTGGTGTCAGGGCATTTCACTGGGAGACACACGCAGGCTCTTTAAAGGGAAATACTGCCCTAATTAACTCAGCATGGAGGGATGCGATTATATTGTGCTAGATCATATTTTTATGCGTCTATGTGAGTGTGTGATCATTTCTAAAAAGTGGCAGAGAAATTAAACTCTATTCTGACCCCTTTTCTATCATATTAGAATTAAATGAAATAACCCTAACCCTTGAAGAAAGGAATGAAAGAATGTGGTGTTTTGCATGTCTGATACCCTTTCAAAAGTAAGTGAAGAACCACCTACAAAGGACACAACATTTATCTCTGCTGTTTTTCCTTTTTAATTAAGGATAGGAAGTTTTGATTTCAAGCCTTCAGTAGTGTTTATTTTGTATAAATTTGGTGTTTTGGCGACTAAAATATTCATCATTTGTTTTAAAGTGAGCTAATCAGTGTAGCAATTCTATGTAGCTATAAAAACCCCTGCTATCTAACTCTGTTTAAACTAAGTAAAATGAGCAGTAGTTCCTTTTGCTATTTGTTATTATTGCCTATTGTTCTGAATCTTGACCCCAGAATTAAGTCAAGAGTTAAGGTATGGTTTGTCCTCACTACAGCATCCTTAGTTGGACTATCTATATTCATACTTTCAGCTCAGGATTTATAAATAAGTATGTAGAAATTTCTATACATTTTTATTTAACTTTCATAGAAAAAAAGCTGAATTATTCTTTAGGTTTGAAGGATAAAAATTACAAATATCATTGATTTTATTATTCTAGTTAGACCAATACTTCGACAGGCTGATACCTTGGAAAACTGAGGTGTTTTTTTTCTTGTATCCATACTGGCGGATACTTGTATGAGCTAGACGATTCATCCGTACATTCAGCAGCCATCCTTTGAAATCACATCAAGCTCCTTCCATTTGCAATCCATTGTTAAAGTTTTGTGTGATTTGTCATTAAATGTAGCTTTTTTGTTTAAATTGAGACTACTGTAACATTTTATATCAACTGAACTGAACTTTTTTTCAGTACACCAGCATGTGATCCACCATATTCTAGATAATCCAGTACCTAGTGGCACTTGGATGCTATCTTCTCTTTAGCTCACAAACTGGAGGTGATCAGTGGTTCTTGATCAAGGAATTGAATGTGGGGACAATCATGGCCATGGCATAAGGTTGATTTCGCATCTGGAGAACCATTTCTATGCTGATTTAAATAAATATTTTAGATTAACATTTAGCTGCAAGGAACAAAAACAACCTGATGTTAGATGTGTGACGGAAATTGAAAAGGAAATAGTTTTGAAGGCGTGGTTTCGAGGGGTGGTCTGAAGGGAGAGGAATGGTTCAAAAATATAGCTTGCTGGAGCCGTTTTTCCTAGATCTCCTACAGCACCTTTAACATGTATTTTTAATTGTATTTGATATTTAATGGAAATATTGCAATTGTGTAACCTAATGTCTTTGGAATTACTATAATACCAACATAGTTTTGTGCACATTTTTAATGGAAACACAGCTTTTGTTGCTAAAGATGTTTCTTCTATCTTTTCCATCCTATTGTTGTGCGTGAAGGAAAGAATCTAAAGACGTAGAGCCAGCCTGTTCCATCATGGGTTTGGTGGTATTAAAACCTTTGTAGTTGTTTGTAATCACTTCTTTGCAGTTCAGTAGTAGTCCTTCATATTTTTAAGTTAGGAAGATTGAAATGTGTTTGCCTTTTCTGAGTAAGACGTTCTTTTCCATTTTCAGTGGAGGCTCAGAAAAACAAGTTCCCTTTCTAGTATTATACTTTTAAACTCAAGAAAACAGAATTACCAATCACTAATTTAAAGGTTTTATGAACTCAGTAAAACGTAATAAAAAAGAGTGCCAAGGACCGTGGCAATGGTGATGTAAAAAAATAAAAACAAAAGAAATTCCTTATTAGGAATTGTTTCCCTTAACTGAATGCACTAAAAGTGAAAGTGTACTTTGAGTCTATGCTACTGCTATCAAATATTAAAAGGATTTAAGAGCTTTTTATACATCTATACCAGGGGTGCAGAAATGTGCCTCAATGTGTAAAATGTATAAAGATTACACAACATGGAGTGCAATAGGTCTGGGAGTTTTATGAATAAGGTTTAGTCCCAGAAAAAAAACATTTGCAGTGATCAAACAAAGTGCAACTAAACCTACTCAATCCATACTTCAGTCTTAAAAGTCAAGGTTAGTTCTTACATCACCCAAAGCCTAAAAAAAACAAACAGCAGCTAAGCTTACCTTGGCTGATGACAGCCTTGCGGTTGCGTCCATCCAAGTCAGCTCTCTCAATGACGTGATGCTTGGCATCCACCCAGTATATGCGCCGGCTGGCATAATCGATGGTAAGGCCGTTAGGCCAGAACAGGTGTGTGTCCGCAATGACTCGTCGGTTTGAGCCATCCATGTTGGCGTACTCGATGCGTGGCGTGTTCCCCCAGTCTGTCCAGTAAATCTTACTAAGAAGAAAAAAGGACACTCATGGTGAGTTTTTGCTTTTAGAGAAGAAGCCAGCATAAAACCTGATTGTTGTTAGGATTTCACACCCAACAGATGTCTGATCTACAAAACAAGTTTTCTTTGCATTCAACGCTCATGTCCTCCTCATCGTCACTCATCTGTTATGTGCAACCTTCAGAGACTCCTCTCATTTTTTAATTATTCCATGCTAATGAGCTCTCCAATAAGCTGTAAGTTTTTCACTTTTAGATTTCACTGGGGCCTTCAATGAAACTTCCTCCTGCCACCACACAATATGAAACCAGTCAGGAGAGTGCAGTTAGCTGCTGTGCCTTTTGTGAAATACTTCCACACAGATGCTCGCCTGTGGGTAATGCTGTGCTGCCAAACTTTAATCGCTGCTCGGCTGCTACACTACAACTGGGACATGTCCAGAGGGGATATGCATATATGAATGTGTGCTTTGAAAGCATCTGGGGTGAATTATGGCGCGTGTCTATGTGCAAGTCTCCTCGTACCCCTCGATGGGGTGCAATGCAATGGCTCTGGGCTTCTCCATGTTCTGCCACAATAACACCTTTCGGTGTGTTCCATCCAGATTGGCCACTTCAATTCGGGACGTCCCAGAGTCTGTCCAGTAAAGCTTATCATGGATCCAGTCGATAGCCAATCCCCCTAAAGCAGAGAGAAACACATTGTCTTACTTGATTAAAATGACATAGTGGTATTTTGTTGAAAACTATTGTAAACCACATATCCTGCTAATAAGAAAAACAAAAGATTTTAAGCAGAAGAACATCTAACTTTCGTTCGTCTTTCTAGAACTGAACATGTAGTCCTGAGCCTTTGTTTTTAGCTGCACAAATAGACAGTTGTCGCTTCTACCTGCTAGAAATTGTCTGATTCTACAGGCTGCTGTATAACACAAAACCATATGGATAAAAAATAAAATAAAATCACCAATTCAGTTTAAAAGGAAAACAGAGGTGTAGAGAAAAACACTAGTCTGCATTAAATAATGATACTGAGGCCTGTTGGGGGAAAAAAAAGGAAAGAAAAATCTCAAGTTTGGTGTTTTCATCAGCTTGTAGGTCTCAGTTCCTAAACGAATGAGGTGATGGAATGATGTAGGGTAGAGTATCATGAGAAGGTGAATAAACTGATTAATGATGCATGCTTCTGTTGTTCCTTAGCTGAACCCATATCCCATTAGCCGCCACACCCACCAGGGCTCTCCAAACCGGTGGAGATGACCTCCTCCACGTTTGAGCCGTTGAGGTTAGCCTTCATGATACGGTCAAGCGTCACATCTGACCAGAACACAAGCTCTTGGCTGTGATGGAAGTCCAGTGCAATGGCGTTTTCCAGGTTGTTGAGGAGGAGGGTGTATTCTGAGCGATGTGGCAAAACTTGTCGGATGTCGATGCGGTTGGCGAACAGCAGCACTGGCTCTGGACCTAAAGAAAGATTTGGTGATTATTTGTGATGAAGGAGGAAAACAGTCAGGTAACGGCAGGCAGTAATTCTAGCAAAGCTGAGGGTATGAGTTCCCTCCAGACACTCTGGACCTGGATTTCACTCTGATCTGCAGCACATTGATGGGCTGCTGCATGCAACCACTGGAGCACATCTAAATCTACCTCAGAAGCCTCAAAATAAGCTCAAGACCTTGAAATCTCCAAGTGGATAAAGTTACAACAGGATAAAAAAGTAGTATCATGGTTAAACAACAGCTTTTATTGGAGGTCAAACCTTGTTCAGTTTCTGTGGTAATATGTCAGGGGAGAAACGTATAATGCTGAATTTTTTTACCCAGAGCTTTGCAGCTGCGCTTGTCAGGCCGAAGCTCGTAGCCGTGAACACAGCGGCACAGGAAACTCCCCTCTGTGTTGGTACAGCCCTGGCTACAGTAACCCTCTTCAGCACATTCATCCACATCTGGAAAGACCACAAAAGAAGAAAAATATAAGGAGAAATGAACCATCGACTTTGGCAATAATTTCCTCTGGGATTAAAAAAGAGATAGAATATGCAAATAGCCTCCAAAATTAAGAAAAAAAGAATCAGTTGGATTGGATTGGATGGACATTTGAATCTTTAATTTAAGAATGCAAACATTTTACTGAAGGAAGAAGTTACTGATTAAATCATGAAATCCACCAGGTTAACCACTTGGCTCCAGATACATTATTACATTATCTCCCTACAATGCCAAGGTGTAAAACCATCTAGATCTAACATCAAAACTAGCATAGCATTACACATCAACATGATAAAATGTTGCAGAAAAAAAATACTTGTTTTACCAATTTACCAAACCTAGAAAGTCCTTCTGAACCCCCCTGAAAACAACATAAGGCTTGCACAAAGTTGGCTGTCTGAACAACACAGATCCGTTTTTTTCAATGCGACCCAGGCCACTTGGCTATGTTATATGAACCTGATCTTTTCAGATACGACCTGCTTCTGACACTCATCCGACCTGAACGCCATTAAGACCTGACAACGGTATTAATGGCGTTCAGGTCGGACCTATTCTGGGTCTCGCTATAAAGAAGCGGCAAGAAAAACAACAACCATGGCAGACGATGATGCGGAGAGCAGTATTTATGTTTAACCATCTTGAAAAGATTGTGTTTTTATGGTTGAGGAAGTTCGCTAGATGCGCACCGGCACTACCATCCATGTTTACTTCCGTAAACACAGAGCACGCTGGCCTGTAATGTCATTGCGTCCCCTAATGCGCATGCAGGACACCTGCGTTGTATGACTGCAGTTCACACAGGAGATCACATAAAAGTCGCATATATTTGGAAATGTAAACGGCAACGCAAAAAAATCGGATTTCACAAAAAAATCGGAATTGAGCATCAAGGCCTGCAGTGTGAACATAGCATTTGAGGGCTGCTGTGCTGCAGGTTTTAGAGGTTTCCCTGCTTCAGCACAGCTGATCTGCACCACCAGCTGATTAACAAGCTTTTGCAAAAATGCAATCATCTGAATTTGGACAGGCTCGCTCTTGAGGACAGAAAATAATATTACATAGGAGACAGGTAAGAGTGGAAACACACCTAAAGCATTTAGACCCGTGTCACACGGAGGTCATCCATTCATAGCATTAAGCAGATTCCCAGATTCTGTAGATGTCTTACTTATAAACTCCCTTGCTCATTCCCTTTTACCAGAAAACTCTCACATCCACAAACACACATAAAAACAGCGTTACCCTGGCAGGTTTTGCTGTCATCCGTCAGTCGGTATCCCGTGTGACAGGTGCACTGGACCAGTCCTCTGACCATCTGACACTTCTGTGAGCAGCCTCCATTATTCTGGTTACAGTTGCCCTCACTAGACCGGGGCCCTACAGGCGGAGCAGAAAGATTACAGGGACGTAAACACAGCTTGCTGATTCAGTATAAATATGAACACATGGTCTGTTAAAAAGCATCTGGCACATTTGATGTTGAGTCTGGAAATACTTTAGGAGTGAAGCCTGAGGATACTGAAGTCTATCAACACAAACAGAACAGGCTCCTTCAGAAATATAATCTAACGTTATCAAAGCCACATGTGGCCATTCTTTAAAGGACTCTGCTGACACCATGACCTTTCTTTTGTTATGAGAGACATCTAAATCTCACTTTTGCTTGACTTTTTGAGACTTTAAAGAACATTACAGCCGCTGTTGGAGCCTATTTCAAGATCAGTTTTCTGCATGGCAATAAATTTGTAACTTAAACAGCTGAATAAAACAGCAGAGTGGAAGAGGACTGCATCATGTAGGGCTTAGGTGGAGACATCTTCTGAGGGGCATCAGAAACGCAGTAGATAATCCTTTAAAAGGTGGAGGAAACAGAGGGTTTCCTGCCTTTACATCGTTTATAGAAAATCGAAGTTAAATCACGATGGGTTTATTACAATTGTAAAAGTAATGCTAATAGAAACAATGCTATCTTGTCCATATAAAAGCAGCCCTAGAGTACCAGCATTGCTTTATCATCAGAGAATAAAGTTAAATAATGAGTTGCATTGTTTGTCTCATTGTAAAGCTGTAGTTTAATCAAAGTTGAATGAAAAGCGCTCCTTTTATCTGAATATAGTACTTTGTGGGACTTCATAGTAGCCTACTGCTGCCGCTGCCTATTCTAGCAGAGCATTTGAAAAGAGCAATCTACGCCCTCCTAAAGCAAAAAAATAAAAAGTAACACTCATGCCCTTTTAAATATAGAGATCAGATGCTTCCAGATGTGTGTGGGTTTGCATATTTTCAAATGTGCTCACTGAGATATGTGCGTACAGCACTGCACTAGACCAAACGTTTTTGTGGAGAAAAAAAGCGGGCTTAGTGCAAAATGCAGACTAAGACGAACCTGCTTGCTGCATCCTCTAATGCTACCGATAGCTGAGAAAAAATTAAAATGACATTTCTTCCTCAGCATCAAAGTACTTGTAGCAACTTATGATGAAGCTGCAGAAACGTAAAACCTACCTAAAATTAGACTTGTGAACAAACTTTCTAAAGCAGATTGAATACTTCAGGTATGTTTCTGAGAGGAGATGATTATGAAAAAAAAAATTATGTACTTAGGACCAATGTTTGTATGATGCTGGAGATTGTAAATTGATTTAAAAGACACAGCAAAGTGAAAACTATCCAGTATAAAGACTTGATAGGCCTTTCTGAACAACAGAAAATTGGTATGTAAACTGAAATGACTGAGAAACTGCAGACTAAACAATAAACCTGAAGTGGTGAATACTTGACAGTCTGCTGTAACATGGTTACTTAGTTTAATGAAACACTTACTGCAGTCGTGGTGTGGATGCTCATCTGTCCCATCACCGCAGTCATTAACCTCATTGCACACTTTTCTCTGTCCAATACAACGGCCATTCCCACACTGAAACTGATCAGGAGCACATGGAGGACTGTCTGCAAGGAGATCGAACAAATCCGGGCTTAAGATAACAGTCAATAAATTAATCAGTTTTGCAGAGGCCTGGCAACAAACCATTCATTCCATTTGGTATGTTGAAGAATGGATGTTTCTAAAGGCTTAATGATGAAAAGTCGCCAGAAATTAAGTTGGGAATATCCGGTTTTAAAAGTTTTTCCCAAGATTTTTTTGGTAAATCAAAACCAGTGTCTGAGATTGAGAAAGAAGGGGAGTTTAATGTTGTTTTTTTAGTGTCAGTGTCTCAAGGAGCAGAGTGTTTATTTCACCTCAACATGAAGCCAAAACAATAACTCTGTTTCCTGAAAATAACTGAGTTTCTCACCAAATAGAAAAAAACTGAATTTATTTCTCAGCACAGGATGGTTCTTCAGAACCGTTGCCATGACAACATTTTAAAAACTGAAGGTTATTTTTAGCTTTTAAAGACACGATAACTTCAAGTCTTACCAGTTTTCTCACACCCCTCTTCATCACTCCGATCCGTGCAGTCATCCTCGCCATCACATCTCCATGACAACCGCACACAACGTCCAGTTCCACAACGGAACTGGTCAGCTGTGCACATTGATGAGGCTGCAGGGAAAATATATACATATATTTTTTCTTGGGATATTTCCAACAGCACTTATTTACAAATTTCTGGAAAATCATACTCACTGCAGTTCTTTTCATCCGACTGGTCATCACAGTCGTATTCACCATCACATCTCCAGCCGGCGTTGATGCACATCCCGCTGCTGCACATGAATTCTACTGATCTGCAGGGCTGATGGGAAGCTGCACACAAATGGGACGTTCTTTAGCTCTAAAGAAGTTAATCAATTCTCATTTTATCAATGTTTGTTTAATTGTTCACATAACTGAAGGAATGAATTTCAGCTGCCTACTTAAAAAAAAATGTTAATACTACAAAAAATACTGCAGAAACATTTCTAATCTTGTTTGTACCCAAACTCCTGACATTTAATGACAAATAAACCAAAACAAAAATAGAATATAGCGTGTTTCTCACTCAAGGCCATTGGAAGATTGTTAGAAAATGCAACATTATGAAGTCTTAGAAATAATAAGACAGTTTAAAAATCTTGTCGCTTCATACCGAAAATTGGTCTTCATCAACTCTTTCTGCAGGATAATTAACCACACAATAAGCTCCAACAAAAACAGGTATAATTTCCTAGACTGAGAGGCAATATTTGTTAATAATCACCTTAGAAATAATCACCAGACAAAAGAAAAAAAATAAATAATAAAATAATAATTGGTGAGATGAAAAAAGAACAAAAACAACTGGGACCCAGGATGCTTGCAGATATGTAGAGACTGTAGAAAGAAGAACCCAACAATTTAACCCAGTAAAACATTACAGCTTTGCTTTAACTTTGAATTTTCACTTTTGATTTACTAAAAGAAGGTTGTGCAAAGAACAAAAGCAGTCCAGGTTAAGAACAAAAACAAAGACAAGCTTCAAGATGTTCTAAGCCTAAAGTTAAAAATACATGTGACTCACATCGTTTTTCCCCCCCCTTTTCCTCTGTTTGTATAATGGGAGATGAAAGGTGAAAGGGGTAAAGAGCAACATGAATTTGAATCCTTATCAATCAGAACAGGAAAAAATCGGAAACAAAGGGTCCTAACTAAATTAATATCTCTGTTAGATAATGTTCCCCACCCCATGCATGAAGCTGTTGCAGAAATGGAGAGCTCCTTCAATGACAAACTGCTGCACCCTAAATGCACCAGGGAGCATTATCACAGATCCTTCCTCCCAGCATCTGTAAGACTTTATAACCCCCACTGTTCCCAACAACCTCAATAAGTTCCTACATTCATGCTGATTTTGCACTTTCTACCTTAATCAGTTAAATAACATGCTGCTGTATTCTATTTTTTTTACATCCCTGATGTTGCTGCTATTTTCAAATATCCATTACTGTAAAAATGTCCATAGCTGTATATTGGCTATTTATTCTCCAGGTGCACAGTATTTATATTGTTAAAACACTTTACAGTACAGTATTTCATTTGTTTATTTTTTAGCTCTTCACTATTATGTTATCATACACTCACACACACTCATTTTTTTTTTTTAACAGTGTTCTGTCTGGCAATGGAATAATTGTCTTGATGCCAAAAGAGAGCCCAACAGATTTTACTTTCACAAGTGGAGCAGTACGGCTATCGCCATAGTATTCCGCTTTATTTATGCATATAAATAGCTTTATTATAATTCATGCAAGGAGTGTTACAGATTTTATGGACACTGCAATGTAAGTAGAACATGTTGTTTGTTAGAATGCACTTGTGCATGTAAAGTTCATCCAATGGAAAAATGCTTTATAGTGGTTGTGAAGAGCCAAAGACGCGCTCCTCCAGACCACCGAGGCAAGCGCTGGGGGACCCAAAGCTCCAGACGTCCAAAGGGATCCCAAGAGCAAAGGCGCCCAGAAGGGGCCAACCCAGGAAGTACGACCCCCAAAAGGGAGGAGGAGAGACGGCCCAGAGGAAAAACCCCCAGCCACCGCAATGCCGTAGCTCCCAGGAGCCGCTGGGACGATACATCAGGAGGATACTATGTATCGCACAGATATAATTAAAAATGTCAGGTATGACCTTGGTGGTGTGCTGGATCACGTTTTCTGAGTCAGGAGCTTTAAATCACACTTTGACCTTTAGACCCATTCAACGTTATTGATCCAAACAGGAAGCAAACTTACAAACATAACAAAGGATTAATTCAAATGACATTTCTCTCAGTAACATATTTTAAAGTCATAAATGGTTATGAGGTGGCCTTTTATTAGATCAAAATGGACCTGTGGAAATGTCTTATCTTTATGTAAAGCAGCAGGCTCAGCTGCTTCTTACCATCATTAGGTTTCATGGATTCAAAGTAGTTTCTAAAAACCAGAAACACTTATTCCCCCACAAGCATTAATAGCTCCTGTTTAATCTGGCTTTTTGGAAGATTATCTTAACGTAGATAGTAGCTTTCCAAATTTAAGATTCCGCATCATGTGATCAGACCAAAGCGAAGCCCAAAATGGCAGTGAAAAAGGATGTAGGTGGATGAAAAGATTAAAGGCAAATCAAAAATAAGCACCTTACATCCTCAGCGTGTGTGAACTTGTGTGTGTGAGAACGTCTTTGACATGTTTCCTCCTGAAAGCAGGAGTGAGCCCCTGTTGGAGCGTCAGCCGCAACATGATGGAGGAGGAACGAAATGACAGGAGAGTAGAGGAGGAAAGAAAATACTGATGTGGAGCTTGAAGCTTCCATGTGTACGCCTATCAGCTGGGCAGGAGGAGAAGGATGAGCAACGCAGCAGGTGGTTTTCCCCGCAGAGAAACCAACTGACAGAGATGGAGATGGAACAGTGAGCGAATCGGTACAGGACGCTGAAGAAATAACACACTCCTACACTAAAAAAACGTGTCTGCGATTTAGTAACTCACCACCAAGCACATGCAGAAACAATTCATTTTCATGCTCTCGGCAGCAAAGCCAAAAGTCGTCCCCATGTGGTAATATGCAGAGGAGTTGGAGCATTTTCGACTGTATCGATGTATGTGTGTGAAGATTCACATTAGCCAAAAAAGAGGGGGGGGGAGAAAGAGACTTCTCTTCTAACAAAGCACCCTTCATGTGTCTGGAGAGCTGATGCCAAGGAATGCTGTCTGAGGATGGGCTGTCTTATGCCTCTGAGGAATGCCTCCTCTGAGGGTGTCAGTGTGTGAAAGAGGGGGAGTGTGTCCACCAAATATGAAACAGATTTCACTACAAGCCCTCCCCATGAATGAATGGGAGCAGAAACAAAAATAAAGCGGACAGATTGAGAGCGAAGTACATAAGCAAATTACCGCTAAGAGGTCAGAGCAATCGTCAGGACCTAAAGTCTGCCACCAGGATGATCACATGTTACTCTGCAATTTGTTTATTTCCCAATTCTAAGATTTGCATTTTAAATAAAGAAAAGCAAAAAGCTTTTAGATGCTGAAATATTTCTGTGTCCTTCAAACAATCTGGTCTGAGATCTAATGACAATTCTTGTTACTTTATTCCTAGGTTTTTCTTTCAAGGTTTATTGTTATACAGATGGGTTTGGTTTAGGGCTAAAACTAATGATGAGTTCACAAATCGATTATCTGTCGGTTATTTTTTCGACTAATCGATTAATAATCGGCTAGACGAAGGTTCCTTAACCCATTTAGGCCGGGAAAGCATTACCGCATTTCTACCATTCAAGCCGGGGGCGCTGTTGCGTAATTCTACCATTGACGCCGGGAGAGCATATAAGTCAAGCAAGAAGAAAGAAGTTTTTTTCAAGCAAACATGGAGGAGTTTGACAGAGAAGAGATGTCGGAAGGCAGTGATTTTGAGGAGTGTGTCGGCTTTGATGACGGTATAGATGAAAATGATGACTTTGAACGCGCTGAACCAATCGAACTACCACCGCAATGCACGGAGTGTTTTCAACCGCACACCTGGAGTGAAAGTTGATTTGCCTGCAGACACCACACCGCTGCAGGCATTTGAGCATATTTTTAATGAAGAACTTTGGATGCATCTTGTTACCGAGACGAATAGGTACAGTGACCAAACAAACCAATCTCCAACAAGAGCAAAGATGGCAAAGTGGTCACCCGTGACTGTGACGGAGATGAAGACATTTATTGGGCTGTGTGTGGGCATAGGACTTCTTGTGTTGCCAGTACGAAGAGATTATTGGCGACAGAGTAAACCTCTCTTCAGGACGCAGTTCCCCCAAAATATGTCCCGGGACAGATTTGTGGCCATCTGGAGGTAAGTTGTATGCAATTTATAACACAGACATATGCATTATTATGCATAATAATACTGTTAATAAGTAATCATCAGATAGTTATTTATGTAATGTTTGTTCTTTATTTTAAAAATGTTTTATATTGCACATTCTCAATGAAGACATGATCACATATGGAAAAAATAAAGGTTGAATTTTTTATTTTTTTATTACTGCTTTTCACTTTTTTTTTTGGAAGAATTTCAAAGATAAAATATATTTTGAGTTCTATCTGCTACAGAAGCTGAGATATCAATAATTTACTAGGCGTTGACACAGTTGCTGAATTTACAGAAAAACTTCAGGTTTTAGGGGTATTTTTTAAAATCGGCCATAGGTTTTTAAGGTGTTTTTTCCAGGCGTTTTAGGCCTAAATGGGTTAAAGAAAATGTTTAACGAAATTTGACCAGTCGAAACTAAGACTTTTCCACTTAAGGAGTTATGGATAGAGAATATTGACAGACATAAATTTAAATTTAAAATGTTTATATATTTTTTAACAATTTTTATATAATTACTGCTCTGATTGGTTTTCTCTGTTAGATAAAAGCATATTTTACAGTCTCTATACTCGTTAACTATACAGTTAAAGATGAATGGATTACTAAATTAGATAACGATTAGTTTAATAATCGATTAATCACGCTTAATCCGATTAATTGTTTCTGCCCTAGCTTGTTCCATTCCAAACTGTGATGTTTTCTTAATTTATCACTGCAGGGACTCCAATAAAGTCACAGGAACTGCTCAGTGATAATCTGTGTAAATCAGATGTACCGGTTTGTGTATTATAGGCTTTGTTCACACAGGATTTAATGCTTCAGTTATTCTACAATAAAAATTTTTTTTTTGTGTGTGTGTGTGTACCATTGTGCATAGAGCTAAAAAGACGATGCCCCACTGAGACTTCTGAACTGTTCACAACCCCAAAGCAACATACATGAGAAGAAAGAAAATGTAGACATCAAAACTGTTTACATTGTGACCGTTATTAGAAATAACATGGAAACATTGGATGCTGATGTCTCAGCGTCATTTCTAACCTTTTAAGAATGGGAGCAAACAATATAACAAGGAAAGGTAAGAAAAAAAAAAAAAAAGAGATTACCGGTAACATTTAAGAATGGCTTTTAGTGAAGCTGGGATTCCTGTTGCATAAGAAGAGCCTATGTGAATGTTTAGTGAGAGACAATGATGTAACAATCACATCAAATGTGACATCAGCATACAGGGTGCACATGCTTTGAAAATGATCAGATATGCATCATTTTATGCCACAGATAAAAATGCTTCAAATCAGATTTTTCCTTTAGTATCATACACTAGAGGCTTGAATGGGACTGATCAGGCTACCATTAGGATGTTTACAAAAAAACACATTTCACCTTGTTTTCTATGACATGATTACAAAAAGCAACCACATGCATTAAAAAAAATATATAATACCTGCTGATCAACAGTCAGAGCTAATCTAGGGATTTCTGGTTGACTGGCTTGTGTATTTCGAGTCATGTAGAGTTTAAAGACCAGCTTGACTGACCTTTTGGATGATCAAATGGTAGTAAAAAATACCTTGAACCTGTGGTTATCATACTGCTGATAAACTCATCAAAGGCATGGGACTTCCTGTGGTTGAGTGTGTGTATGTGTAAGATAAGATTGAGCAGCCTAAGACCTTGAGTGAATAACAAGAGCATAAAAATATTACACAGCAAGAGAACAAGGAAGGATATCCAAACAGATTTTAAAGGAGGATTTACTTCCTGAAATACTGTGACTGTTAGAACCACAACGATTTAGGAGCTGCTGTTCTGGAGCTTTACTTGGACAGTGGAAGCATCTGTTCTAAAGTCACAAAATATGGGATGCTTCAGTGACTGGCAGCATATAAAAAAAGCAGCAGCAGGTGACATATTTCAAAGCACCCCTCAAAAATCTTAAAGGAAGGATTTAAAATTAGATCATGTTCAGTTCTCCAACTTTCCCACCTGCTCTAGGTTTAGCTCTACCTTTGACGTCCTTTCTCCAAGGGATGAGCTTGGCATGCAGATGCAAGCTGATTATTATTGTAGCCTAATATGTGGCTGTAAAAAATATTATCCAAAATACTTAAGAGGATTCTGTATGAAACTATCTAAATATTATTACTTTGGGTTACATAAATCCCCTGAAACGTATTCTTGTCCCATCACTGCTTTTGGAAATGGCCCTTTGTTGGTTAAAATAATAGCGCTGAAACAAATAACATGACATTTTGTATAATATGTCTTCATAAGAGAGATGTAGTATCTCAAGGAAGCAACTGTTTTTAAATTGAGCCTGGGACCATGAACAACTCCAGCACTGTGGCAGGAAATAATTGCATCAAAGCAACTTCCCACTGGATGCAACTAAGGCTGAAAGCGAGGACAAGAACACCACTGTGCTACTATAAAATACTGCATATTTACTTACTGAAAGGAATAATACAGATCACCTTTTTATGTTCTTTAATGTTTCTTTATTACTAGACTTTTACTGGGACAAATCTGATTTGAGTGGAATTGTAAATGACAGGGCTCTTCATAACCACAGAAGCAGCAGCTGGGGCATTTCTGTTCCCTTAAATCATGTGTGTTGGAGCAAAGAAACATCAAACGCTTGCAGGATAGTGTGCCTAAAGGGCCAAGTTTGGTAAAACACCACACCAGGACCATGCTGTGTCGGACTGTCATAGTGCCCTGATATTTTTAGGAGGCCACCACACCCTGTTCATAGCAGTACAGTCTCTGGCCCCGCGAGGGCCCTGATGGAGCTCTGAAAAGAACCTACAAGTTCTGAAGTAGCTATTACTAGTCGTTGAATCCACTTGTTCGCCCTCTTTGATTTCTAACAAGCTGAAAACGGTTTCTTTTTCTCCCAAACTGTTTCATTCATGAAGACTGGGGACAGTTTACAGCTTTAGCTAATATGAGAAAAGAGGATTTTTATTTAAGTTGTTATTTAACATTCAAATAAAATCATAGAAGAAATTTGAATTTAGAAAGAAGAAAGAAATTATAATTTATTTGTTTATAGATTATTAGGATCTAAAATCACGTAATTAAGAAAAACTTGTTTAAAACAGAAAATAAAAAGGCTGTTTTTATTGGATCTGAGTGACGGAGAACTCACAGCAGTCCGACTCATCTGACCAGTCGCCACAGTCGTCGTCTCCGTCACAGTGGTAGATGTCCAGGATGCAGCGGCCGTACGCGCACTGGAACTCCTCCACACTGCAGGTGGCCGTCATAACATCCGAGGCTGCACAGACACAAAACAACTCAATAAACAGATGCTGAGAAAGAGGCTGCTGCAGTTGTCGATCTTAAACTCTTTGAAGCTCTGACTGCGCTCAGCTCGCACCGTCAAGCTTCAGATGAAACAAGGTTAAATTAAACATCTCTAGTGAGCCTTAGAGCATATCATTTACAAAGCCTTCAAGTTCTTACTCAGTAAACAGACTTCTCTTGCTAAGGACCCTGCAGATCAGAATCCCATGTGGTCATGTGGCATTTGTTTCGACAAAACGGCATGAAGCAATACAGCTAAAGATTGTGAGAACTATTTGCCTTAGAATAACAGTTCCTGACAGTAGCTATGTTTACATGGACACAAACAATCGGACGGAAGGCCTGATCAGATCAAAACGTTTCATGTAAACATGTCAGACTGAAGGTTCTATTTTGATTTGGTCCTTTTTGAATGAAATTTCAACCCGAAAGAGAGAGGCTGTTCTGATTGATGTCCATGTACACACCCATTCGAATCTTTGGAGTTAAATAATCTGCACTGCACATGTGTGCAACTTCATTATGACGATTTTCTGGATGCTTTTTAGTTTATTTATTAGACACTTCTGCAGATGCTTAAATGATGTAATCTAATCGAACACTTGGTAAATGTACGAGCATATCGTGATCATTTTAATCTAATCTCCATGTGCATACAGATTTAGAATTTCAGATCAACCAGGGTTTCAATCGGATCGGGGAAATTTTGCGCATGTAAAGGTAGTTTAAGTGTGAAAGCTGGTAATTGTTAATAGGTTGGATACAGAATCAAAGTAATCCCTATTAACCTCCTTTGGTTGTCTTTTGGATCTTATGCCACCAGGAAAAGCCCCCAACCCAAGCAGCTGGTTAGGGATTTTTATCTAATGGAGAAAAAAGTTTTTTCTCATAGACATACCAATGGAGATTGTTTTGATTTTACCAAAAATTAAAGCTAGCTAGAATACTGGACTTAGCCTTTACATACAATAAAAACAATCAACTTTACTTCCCTCTCTACACTGCAAAAATTATCTAAAAATAAGTAAAAACTTAAATTAATTGTATTTACTCTTAATTTGTATAGGTAAATATGATTTGCCAATGGAATTAGTATTTTTACTCTTAAAAAAAGATAATTAGATAAAATGCACTTGAAATAAGACAATGCAATTGTTTGTTTTTATTTCGTATGTAAATCGTCTTGTTCCATTGGGAAAGGGTCTCACTTACCTCACCAATAAAAAAAAATGAACTTTATTTAAGAATAAAATTATTTATTTAGATTTAGATTTGTATGTTTGTTGTCTGGCCATGTTTATCTCTAAATTGCATTTTTTTTTCTCATTATTGAACCTCAAAGAAACAAAAAGGTTTTACTCACGGCAGTTTTCCTCATCTGACCCGTCCTTACAGTCTGTATCTCCATCACAGTACCAGTGCTCAGCTATACAACTTCCATCTGTGCAGCGGAACTCTTTGTCTGAACATTTACGCATATCTGACAAACAAAAAGTAATTTCACCAATTAGTTCTACATAACACATTTCTGCATGTTTCAAAACACATCTTCTCTGCTCTTACCACACTGCTCATCGCTGTTGTCACCACAGTCATTGTCACCGTCACAGTGCCAGAGGCTTCGGATGCAGTAACCGTTTTGGCACTGGAACTCATCCTCCTCACACTCTCTGGGAGCTGCATGGAGGAGAGGAAAAACATTATCTAAAAAGAATAAAACGCACCTGTGGAGCGATACATACAAAACAGACCTAAACATCCACAGTAAAAAAGAAATCCTCAGGACAAAACATAAAGTGCGGATATTGGGGACAAAGAAACCTCTTATTTTGTAAATAAGTAGAATTTAAAAATGTGCAATTTTTGTTCAAAGCAATAAATTGTCAACTTCTGTACAATATTCAAAACATGTTTAGTGACAGAAGGGGGGGGGGGGGGATTAAAAAAAGGACATAAAAAAAAATGCATCTGAACCACAAAAGACTTTTGCCTATTGGTTTTACTGTTTGGTGGATCCATAGAATGAAATAAATAATAGCCCCAAACAAAGCAGAAATATATACAAGTTTGACTGTATAAAGATGAACTGATTGGCACATAGGTTGTTAAAGCACAGGGGCTGAAAGGTTACAAATCACTATTAAATATATAAATGGGTATAGAGCAGCTCATGAGAATCAGGAGTTTATTTTTTTTCTGATCGTTTTGGAAATAAATAATGGTTTAACAGGTGTAGGGAGATTTTGAAAGACTGGATGTTCAGGTGTATGAGAGCGAAACCAGTAGGGTTTATACCTGCTGAATTTTTGGCAGTTTTTTGAATTGCATGTCTGTTGGTGACATTTTCTATTTTTTTCAAATTTTTTTTTCTTATTGTTTGTTTGCTTTATTATATGAAAAAAAAAGATGACAAAAAGGACAGAAACTATTCTGTTGATACGATGGCAACCAACTCCCCTTACGTATAATTCATAAAGAAAAAAAGAAGAGAGAACAGCAAAGGATGCCATTTTGTGGCTCAATCAATCATATCATGGTTTGATGTCAGCTAAGAAGACATCCGATTGAAGGGGACCTCAAAGTCTTTGGGGGGGGGAAACCCCCGAAAAACCCTGAATGGATTTCCTTCACAGTTACTGACCTTTAAAATGCTTTCATGGAAAAAAAAAATTTTCAGGATTATCAACAAATGCTGGACAGGAGAACTACATTTTATTTATAAAAAGTGAAAAAAAAAAAAAAAACTGTGGTAAAGGTCATTCTGAACAGAACTAACCTAACCTTATACTCGCTCTTAAAGGCCAACATCCAATAAGACTGTTACTATGGTCAACAGAAAAAAGTGTAATTAAGGTTAATTTCATGTTAGCATTAGATAAATAGTGTTATTACAAAAAAGCAATGTGTCATCTATGAGCAAATATAAAAGATGCATCAGCAAATGGCTTTCTGACCAGACTAACATTTAGCCAAACCCAGCTCAATCTGACCTTCTGTAAGAATCTTTTTAAATGACAGCAACCCTCTTCAGAGTGGAAGTTTTCAACTTCCAGTTAGATTCCTTCAGTATCTGTAAGGTGTTTAAAACAAAGTTAAAGGAGGCGCAGAAGTAACAGCATTTTTTTTTATGACAGTTGAAAGTAAGTCTGATGTTTATTGACCTTAAGAAGTCAACAGGAAAGTTAAATGTGTTCCAGCAACTCTTTGATTTATACTTTTCCCTTATAGTTAATAACAGTAACTGTAAAACATTTGCCAATTGCTCACATGAGTTGGTGAACATAATTTAAAATATGAACTCCGCTATCATGTTTTAAATCAAAATAAAACCCTGGAGCACCTACTTTATTTTTCAATTGCTATTAATAGTTGTTCTTAAACAGAAACAGGAACTATTTTAATAAAATCCTAAAGTGTAAAAAAAAACTTTTACAAAATAAAAGTTTGGAGTTCAACTAGAAAACATGTTTTTTCTACATATTTTTTTGTGGATTTTTGGCTCGTCTTTTCTACATTGGCTTACTTAATAAATGTTTTTTTTTCTCCAATACCTAAAATATCAAAATCTCTGCTAATCGTTTAAGTAAACATTAGGTCAAACATATAATTTAAAAACCTGTTAACAATTCAAAATCTAAATAATTTTCCCAAAGATAAATTATGGTGGTATCAGATTTATCAGTGGAGCACAAATGGAAATGCAATAAAGATTTAAGGCACAACATCAAACATTTTTATGACACCTATTAGCCCTATATTTCAATATACCAATTCAATGATTTATTTTATTTGAAAGAGGAAATGGCAACTTAATAAAACACATGGTGACAATTAGTGAAAGAAAATCCAAAATTAGCCAAAAGTCTATTTTTCCTCATTAGCACCCTGACTATGAAGTTAAAAGCAATAAAATATAGGTAAAACACATACAGACAGTAAGGATCAGATATTATGAAATTGCTAATGCTCTGAGTTTCTGTTAAAACGCACAAAACTATCGCAGAAGCTCCAACATATTTTTATAATCTAGATTAACTGTGCCAAATATTAGGCTATAGGTTAAAACATTTTTCTAAAAAAACATTTAAATCAAACTTACTTAAACATATTTAGAAAAGAATAACTTTTTTTCCATAACTTTTCTTTCTCCGACTGCTTAAGTCAGCAGCTCCAAAATCACTGCAGCCACAATCGACAGCCGAACCCAGCTGTGACACAGCGGGGGCCGAGGTAACGGTTTTGTCGAGGAAAACCAATGATGGATGACAAATAGAAGGAAATCTATTATTTAGAACTACTGTGGGTACATAAGAGACGTGTGGAGGAAGATTTAAAGAAACAGAAAAACAGCAGGATGCCAAACAGATTGGAAGAACTAACTATGAAGATAAAGTTCTTCTTTAATCCTGGCTCCATGTTTTATGTTATCCTGTGGTGCACTGCCACAACTTATCATACCTGTCTTTTGAGATCAGACATAACACAGGAGAGCTGACAGCCAGAGTACATAAAAATATTTTATATACAAATTAGGGCTGCAACAACGAATCGATAAAATCGATAAAAATCGACTTTTAGAAGCGTTGGCAACGAATTTAATCATCGATTAGTTGTGTCGCGCGATTAATGCGTCATCCGCCGCCACCGTCATCACTGCCACTAGACTGAAACGGGGGAAGAAAAAAAATATGGCAGAGCGAGTCAGCGCCGCAGGTGCAGTGCTGCCAACTCAGCGACTTTTCAGACCCCTCCAGCGACTATTTTTTTAAAAAGCGACTAGCGACAAATCTGGCGACTTTTTACGGTGTCACTGGCGGCTTTTGGAGACTCTTACGTGAAAGCATGTATCGTTCCTACTCTTGTCCTCCAGCGGCAGCTGCTGCCGTGGGGCGCCTCCCCCATCCCAACGCCTTTCTCCCTCTCCCACAGGAATCCCTCTCAGCGTGCAGTCCGAGCCGCAGGATTTTAGTGAGGAGTTTACCCTCAGCGTCCAGACTGCAAATGAAGCGCGCATGCCCCGGGATTGACGGCGCAAATTGATCACAATAATTAAAATAGCCTGCGCTTTGTAAAGTGAAAAAAGTCGTAACATGCAACTTTTGTAAAAAACAAATGAGCATGGCACGGAAGCACCACTGTTATGACGCAGCACTGAAAAGAAAACACGTTGGAGCCTTCAATGGCAGTGAAGATAGCTGATCAGCAGGATGAGTAACCATGTTTGTTTCATTTTAAAGTGGGGAAACGTAAGTTAGTTTCTCAGGTAGCTCATCTGATGCTTTCCTTAGCTTGTTAGTAGGTTACAGACAGTGATAAGGTTGGCTTCTTATTTTACTTTTAATTTCATTTGAATTAGCTTAAGCAGCGTTTATATTTTCTTTATAAATAAATTAATTTGCAAATTATGAGGGCAAGGCTTTTAAAGTTTAAATCTTCTGGCAAAGAAAGTAAAGAAGATCCTGCAATTTATGGAAGTAAAGCAGAATAAAATCCAGCAAGATCAGTAATAGGTCAATTAATTATCTGCCACATTCCCATGTAAATATCTGTCTTTGGAGGATGTGTTTTTTTAACACCCCTAGTTCTCTCATTTTTATTCCAAATACAATTTATAATTTGAATCACAGGGCTATTTTTATCTCTATGGTTAAGTACTTTCTTAAGTAGCAACTTTAACTGCTATACTTTCCTGTCTTAAAAGGCAGAACTCTTCTAGTCTAAAAAAAACTCATTTTTTGAAATGGGGGGGCCTATTGTTTGAACCCCTTAGGGGCTTTTAAAAACAAAAATGTCTTTTTTTGCGCTTTATGAAACAAAGTACCCTATATTTTGTGGATGTACAGCTACATTTCTCATGTAAGTTTGCATAGTTTTAACACAAACATTTATTTTTCATATAGCACCAGTACAGTTAATGAGCAACCTGTACTTGTGTGCTTGTTTGTTCTGTCTAAAATGTTTATTTTGGAATAAAGAGGTTAATATAAAAAAAATATTTTGTGTCCGATTCATCGATTAATCGAAAAAATAATCGTCCGATTCATCGATTTTCAAAATAATCGTTAGTTGCAGCCCTAATACAAATATACTTCAAGTCACTCTGATTATTTCTGGGTCCCCCCCCCACGCTCTACTGTAAGTAGGCCACCATTCTCCCATCCTGGTGTCCAAATTTTTTTAATTGACCTCTTAATACAGATTTTTTCAGTTATGGATGAAAACATGCTTACAAGTAAACACACATTTAACTTCATAAAACCCCCAAAAAACAAGCAGAAAGTGAAGGACAAACAATTGTTAATAGACACTCCTAGATGAAGGCTTTACAGTAGAGGTGATAATCTGCCTATGTGATATTAGAGCTGCACACACCGTTGATCCCTTTTCACTGGCTTTTAAATTTACTTTTAAGCAGATCCTTTTCTCATGCCTGGTAAATTCAGTCCTTATTTTTGTTCCCCCTCTACAAAATAAATTGGCTTTATTTTATTACTTTAAAACCAGGGGGCAAACCTTCAAGCTCAGCTGGAGATCAGGCAGTTTTCAAGGTTTAATATTTTGCTTGATTTTTATTGGAATATCTATTCCTTGGTCTTAACCTTTTGATTTAGTTTATTAAATTGCTGATGGTTTTACACACTTTTGTGTGACTTTTGTGTAACCCAGTCTTTCTCCATGCCCTCTCCAAACTTGACCCAGGTCGGAGTTTTTGCCTCGGCAACCAAACTGTCAGCAACACATACGGCCCCACGATGCCTGGTTGAGGTTTCAAGAGTCCCACAGGCCTACCAAGCTCCGTAACACTCCTTCAGCTGAAGAGCATCCTTTACCGAACACATTGGTGGACATTTACATAGATAGATAATTTAAATTTTTCATATATAATATATTCAAAATTTATCAGAAATAGCTGAAACTGAGCTAATAAATATATAAATGTTCAAATAATAAATATACTAGGCAGATAGCAGGAAAATGTCTTCATGAAAATATGATGTAAAGATCAGCTCTTCTTAGACATTTTCAGAACATCTTTCCAGCAATTCATAGACTCCATCTCACCATAAGTATCAAATAAATATTCTGAAAGAAAAAAAAAAATCTCTCTAGTTATGCTTTACATTAGACACAGCTAGCATCAACCCCCACTACCCCAAAGGTTCGCCGCTTATTAAAAATAAAAACCTTTCAAAGCTCAGGCATCCATGAGTGGATCCAAATTAAAATTGTATTTCCCCCACACAATCGACAGAAATTCGAATTTTATCTATTATGCAGGATCCAAGACAATAATTGATTTGCTGCTCCCCCTTCTTCGTCTGTCTTTTCCATCATCCCTCTCCTTCATACGTGAGGTAAACAGAGGGGGGTCAGAGGTCAACAAACCCTGGAGATGCTCATCACTCACACAGCATCCAAACGTCAGAGAGCAAAGGCCACTGGGAGTCATTTCAAGACCCCCCTCCGAACATGTGTGTATTATAAAATAGAGGTCTGTTATTATTATTTTTTTTCTAATATCTTCTAAACTTCATGAATCCAGAATATCTCATGTAGGAACACACACCTTGACGGAGAAACACACCTCTTTTTGTCTGGAATCTCCAAAACTGCTTTATCTCCAGCCAAGCATGGAGGATCGCCTCTCCGTCTCTAAATAATGAAATAAAGCCAATTCGTTGTGGAGGGGGGAGCAAAACTAAGGGGGGAATTTACTGGGCACGAGAATGAAAAATTCATATCCAGCATTGCCAGGAGCAGACAGACCCCCCATCAGGAAGTGATTCAATGTCTGGCTGCTTATACAGTATGTGGGTCAGAAGCGGTGGAGATAACACTGGATGATGGATAAGGAACAGCTTTCAGAGGACAAAGAGGCAGTCTGTAACTGCTGAATGAAAACAAGAAGTGTTGCAGAAAACACAGAGTGACAGGTGTGTCTGCTGCATTTACAAAAAGGTTTTATCTTTACTCTAAATTGCTGAAGATGATTGTTTTCATCAAAAAAAGGTTAATCCACCTTTCCATTTTGATTAACGATGACAAAGGTAACAGCCATCAAAGTTAACTGTTTAATGCATTCATTGGGCAAGTCTCAGTTTGAACTTGTTTGACTGCAGTGGCTCTTATAGGTCAAAGCAAAATACATCAGCCCTCATTGCATTGCCGTGGAGCTGGTTTCAGGTGTCTTTAGTAACCAGAGAATAAATCCTAATGACGCTGATGATCTCTGAGTGTTCGTTAAGTGCTCCTTATCAGGTCAAAATGTCACTCTGTCACTCTTTAGTAAATCAAACAAAACGTTTCATTATTTTTGCTTAATGGCTTCTCCCATTGGCAGACACCAGCAGGTTCTTGGGTTACAGCCCCAGCAGTCACAACTGACCTAATTGCTGCAACTCTAAAAAAGCAACCTCCTCCTTTTAAGATTTAGTAATCTTCTCAGATTCCACATTGTCAAAAGCAAGAAAGACAAATTGTTCTGAGCTTATAGAAAAAAGCCTGAAGCAGCAGTTTCCAGTTAATTTGGATTACACAATGTACAGAATAAGGACTAAAAGAAAATGTTTTTTTTTCTCTAACCTAAGAGGGTTAAAGTTTAATTTACAAGTTCAAATAATAATAAAAAAAATATTTCCAGTACACTATCAGCATTCCTCTTTTGTCCAGCTTTGAATTTCAAAACAGAAGATTCTCACTCAACCTTTACAAAATCTTAACCTTGTCAAAATTGAATCAATTCTCATGCCTAATCTGATCGACATCTGTTGTCACTAGGCTTCCTTTAAGCAACTGGGTTCAAACATGTTTATATATCTAACTTAAATGTTTCTAAATGTATAAAATCTAATGTCCAAAGATATCTACCTTTTCAAAAATATGTTTTAAGAAGTGTCAAAAAGATGGAAATGTAGCAACACACATTCCCCAGGCAGGCAGCAATGGACTGGTACACAAATACCGACTTCAGAAATAGACACAGTGCTGACTTCACCCATTGGGTTGACACTTCGCCTGGCAAACAGCTGGGGGATATTTTTGTGTTAAGTTAGGAGCAGACAAAAACACTCACCATGTCAAAACCAGAGCAGAATGACACGGATTTAAAAATATGATACATGATGTTCAGGGTGATAAAAAGCTGGATTTAAATAAATGGGCAAAGCATAAAGCAACTGCCCCGACTGTAAAATGTACATCTTAGTACCCATGGCTGGTTTAAACATTTGTTCAGTTCAATCATTTGAAATAAAAAAAGTATCAAGACTACAGTTGTGTGCATCAATCTTTGACAACCGATGGAGTATTTTGAGCTACTGTTTACACGTGTTTTTACTTGAGGAGGACATGTACTCACGGCAGTCTTGTTCGTCAGAGTCGTCTTCACAGTCGTTGTCTCCATCGCAGACCCAGGAGCGACGAATGCATTTTCCATTGTCACAGTGAAAGTCCAGTGGTGAGCAGGTGGGGAGCACTGCAAGCACACAAAACAGCAAGGCTGTCAGCTACAAGCCAACAAACAATCCAGTGAAAAAGGTAGACAGGCTGCAAACTGTATACATGTTTATTCTATATAAAACCTAAACATGTAGAAATAAACTGAGATTTATTCACTAAACCTCCTACATGCACTGGAAAATGTATATATACCTCTAAACTTAAATGTATTGTATGGTGATCTAATGTACTGGAGCAACACAAAGTAGCTTCAAACCGCTAGTCAGGTGGGGAATTATACTTAGTTTTAAGAGAGATTTACGATGAAATATACTTCATCTCTGATGCCCTTGTCAAGTAAAAGCAGATAATTTCAGTTTGTTTGTAATTTATCTCAACATAAATCCAATTTCATAATGAAAACCATTAGTTTCCAGAGAACATTAGTAAATATATCACTGAGGTAAATCCTGAACACCGAGGATCACAAAGAGTTGAGTTGTTTACAGTATGTTTATTTTATATAAAAATATATAAGGAATAAAAGAACGCTTAGAGTATCTGAAAAGGCATTGCTAATTAATCATGCAAAAATGGAATGCAAAAAGAAACGCACATGAACAGCTGGGCTCAAGAAATCATCAGAGAAGAGTCAAGAGCAGAAAATGTTATCGCATTAATTATTGTAGCAACACCCTTCACTTCACTGAGGACTGGCAAGAAAAAAGCCATTGTTTTAAAGAAAAGCACAGGGAGTGGGAAAAATTAGGAAAAGGTTGGTAAATCAAGCCATTTGAAGCATTTGGTAGAATGGGAAAAAAAAGGTATGTTTCCCTGAAAACAAAATCGCTGTGGTGAGAAACAGCAATGGCCGTTATCATTCTTGGGGGCTTTTCTTGCAGCTTTAACCACAACAGAATGTGGATCCAAACAGTCATGACTCAAGGGAGTAGAATGCAAATAAATAATGATTGCGACTTTTAATTTGACAAAAGAAATCTTAAAACTAAGCAGATTTTCTCTATTCTAAATATTTACTATACTGTACTGTTGCATCACATTTAAGCCCAACAAATCAGAAAGTAACATTTGTGGATCAAACTTTACGAACCGTAAAAAGAAGTTACAAAAAATTATTTTTCGTAGAGTAAAACCAACCAATCTATCCAGGCAAGCAGTGCTTGCTACTAATCAGTGTGTTGCCTGATTTAGTTATTGGCTTCCTTAAAGATCGAAGTCAAACATCTCCAGGTTGATTTTATCTGACCTCAGCTCTTTCAGAACCAAAGTCTGAGCTGGACTCATGCTTCTTTACCTCTTCCCCTTTTTTAATGCAGTAAGTGGCAGCTCCCTCAGCTCAGCGCATTCCTTCCTAACTTCATATCCGCTCTAAATGCAGCAACTCACCATCTACACTAGTCCTAAATAACTGGCCTTTTGTCATTTGCAGACAGAGCTAATTAAATCACAGGCCAGAGAGGGACAGAGACTCAGGGAGGGGTGGAGGAAAGAGGCAACACCCCCCCTTTACAGTATACTCTCATTTGTCTGTCGATAGCCTATATGAAATATTGACTGAGCAACAAAGACTTTATAAAAAGTGCATGATGTCATGCAGAGAAGTAACCAGTGAGGCCGACAGATGGGAGTGGATGAACTGTATGTGAGGCTGACTGTGTGTGTGTGTGTGTGTGTGTCTGTGTGTGTGTGTGTGTGTGGTTGTGGCTCCAGTCTACGGGAACAGTAAAGCCCCCCGACCCACATAACCCTGCATGGAAATGACATTAGTAACACTGAATCTGATGAAACCAAACGTCCATGCGGCAGCGTCTCTTTAATTCATTACAACAATTCAAGTCATCTAGATAAAACTTTTGCTAAAGATGTGTATCTTATGGCCACCATTTGACATTTTGTCTAAGAAGGCATAAAATAGAAATATTTCTGGAGCCTTTTATTCTAATTAGTACAGCCTTTTCTTTTCTTCCAGGCAGCCTGGGGATTCATTTCATTACTAAAGCTCAGTTATTAGAAGTCTGATTTTCTATAAGAACCAACATTTACACAATGACATATTTTGTGACTTTTGAAAACTGTTCAAACAGCATTCAGTGATACTTAATCTCCTTAACATTTTCAGGTGTTGCAAGGACATTTTTCATTGTGTTAACATGTGGTAAATAGGTTCATAAGGAGCTATGTTTTAAATGTTTCTTTACATGTAGTTAGGACAATATCAGAACTTAATATCTTACATTAGGTAGAAAAACAGGAGTCAGTCCTTCCTTAAGGTCAGACAGATTTCATTGGAGGGTTTTTCTTTTTTCCAGATTATTTAAAAGCTCTCAGCTGTGGAGGTGGTCAGCAGCACAAAGTTCCTGGGGGTGCACATCACGGACAACCTCACCTGGACTGTAAACACTTCATCTCTAGTGAAGAGGGCACAGAAGCGCTTGTACTTTCTGCGGAGGATGAGGAGAGCCCGCCTGCCCCCGCCCATCCTCACAACCTTCTACAGAAGCAACATAGAGAGCGTTCTGACCAGCTGTCTCTCTCTGTGGTGTGGAGGCTGCAGAGCTTCTGACTGGAAGAATGTGAGGAGGGTGGTGAGGACAGCGGAAGGAATCATTGGGGCTCCTCTTCCCTCCATTAAGGACATTTCATCACAGCGCTGTGTGTCCCGAGCCCGTAATATCATCAAAGACCCCTCACACCCCCACCATGGACTGTTCTCCCTGCTGCCCTCTGGAAAGAGATTCCGCAGCATCCGCTGCAGATCCACCAGGTTGTGCAACAGCTTCTTCCCCACTGCCATCAGACTGTTGAACCTTTGATCCACAATCCGAACTCTGCACCTATTGCACATTATCGGGCATCAAATGCTGCTGAACTTTTAACTTTTAGCCCTTTAAATTGTTCATCTCATTGTATTTTTCAATAACGCATTTTTTGCACAAATGCCATTTTGCACTGAACCACTGCAACTTGCACACTGTCTCTTATCCTCTGCACTGTTCACACTTTGACCACTGCTGCACTTTTTGTATTTTTCTATAACTCGTGCCATTTGAAATATCAATGCAACGTTCATAAGCTGTATGTAACGCAATTTCGTTCTGTATGCACCCTGTGCATACAAAATGACAAATAAAGAAGTCTAAGTCTAAGTCTAAATGCAAATTAATCCTTTATTTTTAGCTTTTAACAATTTTTTTATGCTTTTCCTTCTTCAGAATAACACAAAGTTGTACTTTTGCTTGCTTAATGCATGCCTGAGTGATCTCCATGAATTCTGCTCTCCAGCAGCAGCCCCTCCCTGTCCTGGAAAACAAGTGGCCATCATTGGTTTATGCAGGACAGTTATTACCCACCCCCATCAGGAAGCACCTTGAGCACGCCACCCCTGCCCAGTAAACAACTCGCCCACTTTCTCTGATGAGGCAGACACAAAGAAGCGTTTTTAACACCTAACCACCACAGTTGTAGAAACTAGTTTTTTATTTAGCTTGTAAATGTGTTTACCAGCTCCACTTTATTCAGCATCTCTGAACAAGAGCCCAATTGCCAAAAGTACAGAACCACAACAAATCAATCAAAGGATGGATCAAATTTATCTCCCAATATCATTTCATCTCAGCTATATTTTTGACAGGGAGGTGCTACAGAAATTCATGTAAACATGAGTTGAGCAATTTACTACAATTATAAGCTTTCTTGAATTAAAGGTAAACAAAAACTATCATCTAAAAGTTATTTCAGTACTTTTTTAAGAACATGATGTGCAATGAATATTTTCAGAAGATAAAATAAAAAAAATAAAAATAAAGGGAAGGTTATTTTGCAGTTTGTTTAACACCTAATGTAATATTATTTGCGTAAAACAGATCCCTTTAAAAAAAAAAAAAAATACATGACATAGTTCCTGGCAGCGTTTCTCGGGGTTGTCTGTATTATTCCAAAAGAAAGATCAATTGCTGATTTATTATGCTCAGCAGAATTTCTGCTGAGATGCTGAGAGCCCCCTCTAAGCCTGGGAGTAAAGTCACCACACTTAAACTCACCTCTGGATAAACTGAAACACCACATAATATTTTTTGATGCAAGTCTGACCAACAGTCAGCAACACTGCGCCCTTAGCAAACAAAATCTGAGAAATGCTGCTAGTCAACAGTCCAATAAATAATTCAGCTTATCTGCTGAACGGTGTGTTGAGTTAATATACAGAAACACACAAAGCTACTTCCACAATGAGTTATTTCATATATAACTCATATATAACTCATATATATATATATATATATATATATATATATATATATATATATATATATATATATATATATATATATATATATATATAACTCATGTATATATATATATATATATATATATATATATACACACACACACACATTTACACACACACAAAAATCATGCTTAAAGCTCAGCCGAACCATCTAATACAGAATTATGCAAGCACTTAAATGCAGGGATAAAGACAACCAAAGGAAATAAATATTGCATTAGTTCAGCTACACACACACACACACACAGTGTTGGGTTTGTTCCCGATATCAGGTGGATCAGCAAGAAGCAAGCTGGGAAGGCTGATGAGGTCTCTTGGTGCTTTGATCTCTTTTATCACACTGATTCTGGTCAGCTCAGCGCTACTGTTCTCACTACTGCTGCATTCCTTAACTTCTGAGACACACACATCAATCTCCCTCACAAGAGCCATCCAAACACTTACCTTATCCTCTTTATACTCCTACACACTCCACCTGCCTCATTTGTTTATTTACCATCCATACCCACATATTTAACAGAGGCTACTGACTAATATTTTAATGAGAGATTTTTGCAGACAAAGCATAAACATTACCAGATTGAAACAGCGGTACACCTACACAACAGGTGTACAAACAGCTCTGTTTATTTCCTGTGATTCGCACTATCATCAAAAGCAGTTGTTTTGGTTCATTCACTGTTTACAATGAAGGTCCAGAGTGATGCAATAACACAAAACAGCCTTGTAAC